ATATGAGCCGGACTGATCGTTTCGGATTACGACGCAACCTCTCTCACACTTTTTTGACGAATGGACGTTAGACTGAATCACAAAACGCCGTTTTCCTTAACCAGCTCTCAGCCTCAACCAGCTATGAGCCTTCCCAATTCCTTGAATCGTTTGAATTCCTTGAATTCCCAATTTCTTGATGCGCGAGCTAAGGTTCCCGTAGAAATTGGCAAATTTTGAGAAAGCCATCGTCGATGAGAAAGCTATCGTCGATGAGAAATCACTTGTCAAGGCCCTCGTCGATGAGAAATCACTTGTCAAGGCCCTCGTCAATGCTATGATCGATTTCTGATGAACACTCGGCTTGTCCATTTCTAAAAAAAACACTATAATCTTAGAAATAATATCATAAAACATGGATAAACATGAAAAAAAAGCAAAAGAGATAAGATAGCAACATAACAACAACAATAACCTAACAACAACAACAAGATAACAACAACAACATAACAACAACAATAACATAACAACAACAAATAGCCCAAAAAGATCACAGATAAAGCTGACATCCCCAGGCCCATAATTATCGTGCATTTTGTATCCAATTTTTGACTAGAATTCCTCTTTTTGACTTTAAGAGTTGTGCGGATACAAAAAGGATATCAAAAAGAAAAAAGTCGATAGATTCGAGTGGATAGAATCGACAAAAATAAAGACAAGAAAGGTAGAAAGGAGGAAACGACTTGAGAAAACGTAGAAAGAACAGACACTAGGAATACGATAGGGTAGGGTAGAATAGAAATCATTTGTCTCATTTGTCTCACCTACAGTACTCTTACAAGTACAATAGACCGTACAGGTTTATTATAAGCTACAATACTTTCAAAAGAAATCGGTATCCTTCGAGATTCTTACAATTTGAGTTTGAAATCTATTCTTCACTGAATAGAATATACGATGCTTTCACGCAATTCATCTTTTCTTTCTTCCTTCTTTCTCTCTTCCTTCTTCCCTCTTTCTCTCTTCCTTCTTCCTTCTCTCTCTCTTCTTTCTATCTTCTTTCTCTCTTCTTTCTATCTTCTTTCTCTCTTCCTTCTCTCTTCCTTCTTTCTTCCTTCTTTCTGTCTTCTTCCTTCTTTATTTCTGTCTTCTCTCCATCTTCTTTCTTCTTCCTACTTCCTCGCTTCCTTCTCTCTTCCTTCTCTCTTCTCTCTCTCTTCCTTCTCTCTCCTTCCTCTCTTCCTTCTCTCTTCATTCTTTCTGTCTTCTTCCTTCTTTATTTCTGTCTTCTCTCCATCTTCTTTCTTCTTCCTACTTCCTCGCTTCCTTCTCTCTTCCTTCTCTCTTCTCTCTCTCTTCCTTCTCTCTCCTTTCTCTCTTCCTTCTCTCTTCCTTCTCTCTTCCTTCTTTCTGTCTTCTTCCTTCTTTATTTCTGTCTTCTCTCCATCTTCTTTCTTCTTCCTACTTCCTCGCTTCCTTCTCTCTTCCTTCTCTCTTCCTTCTCTCTTCCTTCTCTCTTCCTTCTCTTCTTCTCTCTTCCTTCTCTCTTACCTTCTCTCTTCCTTCTCTCTTCCTTCCTTCTTCCTTCTCTCTTCCTTCTTCCTTCTTTATTTCCTTGATTTACTTATGACTCGACAAACAAAAGAGTTTTCGTGATCGAAAAGGACCAATTAATCCAATTCTTAGGACAATTCACAAGGACCAAATCTTACCTAAGTCTGAAACATCTTCAACAACTAGACGATCACGAAAAAATACATCTGAATAGAGCCAAAGTCGTCACAAAGAGGTACAAAAAAAAGGAGTAAACTAGCTTCCTGTTAATATTTGCCAACATCATTCACTGGGAAATGTCTTGAAAAGACTTTAAAAAGTATGTACCACTTCCTGATGCTTTTGACAGTATAAAATAAGATGTATTTCAGTCAAAAGTCGAATAATTTCTTTCAAGAATTGCACTTTTTCAACCTTCTACACACTTTATTTCAATTCCATACCATAAAAAGCCCATTTTAAGCTTTAAGAAAGCTTTAAAAAGTTTAAGAAAGCTTTAAAACAGCTTTCTTTAACAACTACTATCTTTAAGCCCATTTTAAGCTTTAAGAAGGCTTTAAGAAAGCTTTAAAACAGCTTTCTTTAACAACTACTATCTTTAATTTTAGCCAAAGCCATAGCCTAAGCTTTAGACTTTCCCAAAAATCTAAAAGCTTTCCAAAAATTTTCCCCGTATTCCCCACTCTTGTCTATTTGTGTTGATGTAATGAGTGTGTGTGTGTCTCAGTCCCATCTTTCTTTGTCTATTTCCTTTTTCGTAGCCGGAAAGATGAAAGCCTTTTTCTTTAAGCTTTAAGCTTTCTTTCAGCTTGAGAGCTCAGCTTTTTCAGCTTTTTTTTCCCATAAAAAAGTGTCTCTTTCTAGCAAAAAGTCGTTTCAATCATTTAGAAGCCGTTTCTTTGGGTTTTGATGAAAATTTGGATCAGTTACTGTACCTGGGATAGGCTATGGCTAACAATGGCTTAGGCTTAGGCTTGGGCTTGGGCTTAGGCTTGGGCTTAGGCTTGGGCTTGGGCTTAGGCTTAGGCTTGGGCTTAGGCTTGGGCTTAGGCTTGGGCTTAGGCTTAGGCTTGGGCTTAGGCTTGGGCTTAGGCTTGGGGCTTGGGCTGGGGCTTAGGCTTGGACTTAGGCTTGGGCTTAGGCTTGGACTTAGGCTTGGACTTAGGCTTGGACTTAGGCCTCCTAGGGCCTAAACAAGTGGACTGGCCTAGCTTAGGCCAGGCTATGGCTAGCAATGGCTTAGGCTTAGGCCTGCTAAGACCTAACCAAGTAGACTGGCCTAACTTGGGCCAGGCTATGGCTAGCAACGGCTCAGGCTTAGGCTTAGGCTTAGGCTCAAGCCTAGGCCTGCTAAGACCTAAACAAATGGACTTTTCTAGTTTGAGCTCATCCTGGTTAATGATAAGGCAAAAAAGCATTTTTGGTGAAAACCGAATCCTAACAATTTTAGTGTGACATCCAGATAAAAGAGAAAACGCGATTTCAATAAAATTGCTCCTATCAATTTGTCTAAATAATCGCAAACTCTCTGCAGTCCACTCTCTACAGTCCAACGACAGCTATGAAAAGCTAAACGGGTTAAGACTCAAAGGAAATTAAAAATTCAGGCTGGTAAAACGTTTTTTGCTAAGATTTGTTTAATCTTTTAGTCAATCAAGATCAAGAAGTCAGCCATTACCTAAAAATTGCAATTAGAAATGAATAGATGTTAGCCTTAGGATATTAGATTTTAATTTTTGACAGGCTGAAATTTGTTTTCCTTTGGGTTAACATGATGAGCTCTTCATAGCTGTTGTTGGACTGCAGAGAGTGGACTGACAAGAGTTTGCGATTATTTAGAAAAAATGAGAAGATCAATTTTATTTATAATTGGTTTTTTCTTTGATCTGGATGTCACACTAGAGTTTTTAAGATTAAGATTTTCGATTTTCATCAAAAATAGATACTCAAGGTGCTCATAGTAATGCTTAAAGCTACTGCTTGCAGTAACGCTTACAGTGAAGCCAAGAGACTACAGTAATAGCCAAGAGACTACAGTAAGAGCCAAGAGGCTACAGTAAGAGCCAAGAGGCTACAGTAAGAGCCAAGAGGCTACAGTAAGAGCCAAGAGGCTACAGTAATAGCCAAGAGGCTTACTGTGCTATTAAGCGAGTTGAACTAGAGTTATCCTAGAGTCAAACTTGAGGTTTTGTGCTTTTGGCACCCAATTCCGTTGCTAAAATTGGGTTACGGTAGCTTTTAAAAGCAGACAAGTTTTCGGAATGGATTTGGAATGGATTAGCCAAGTTAAATGGAATTTAGTTGATACAAAACTACTTGAATACTTGAAGACAATCAATTCCATTCCGAAAACTTGTCAATTCCAAAGATTGTAGCAAGATTGTAGCCTTCTGGCAATGTTTTAGCCTTCTGGCAATGTTTTAGCCTGCTGGCAATGTTTTAGGCTTTCCAGGACGCATCTTAGCCTTTCCTGGACTCATCTTAAGCTTTCCAGAACTGATCCTAAGCTTTCCTGGACTCATCTTAAGCTTTCCTGGACTCGTCTTAGCCTTCTGGCAATGTTTTAGCCTTTCAGGACTGATCTTAGCCTTTCAGGACTGATCTTAACCTGCCTGGGCTCGTCTTAGCCTTCTGGCAATGTTTTAGCCTTTCAGGACTGATCTTAGCCTTTCAGGACTGATCTTAAGCTTTCCTGGACTCCACTATATGAAACGTCATCGCTGGCAATGACTCACTCCCATCTGGCCGCAAGAATAGCCAAGACAAATGTTGCGTACCAGCTTCAGCTTTCTTTTTTTTGCTCAATAAGTGGCACTACTTGAGAGACCGGTCTTCATAAGATTCTTCATAAGATTCCTTCTTCACATTTCTGACGTGATCATTCATTCGCATTGAAAAATGGGCATATCTTCCGTCTCCCTTTCATCTAACCTCTAATTCTGGATTCTTTCCTCTTCAACCAGATCGTATTTAAGAGACGATGAAGAAACGCGGCCACATGAGGGTCTTCCTTCCCGCCTTTTTCTCAGTCTTCAGTCTTGCACAATCTTGGGGGCGGTGCTGGTGAAAAGAAAAGGAAAGAGTGCCTCATCGGACCTCCCTCATCCCCGGTCGACTCTCCGGAGCTCTCATTTTGAAAATCGTGAATCCTGGACGTCACACTTGAGATCCAGACATTATCCTTTGCTATATATTTTCATTTTTTTCATTTTCTTCTTTGAGTCTATTAAATTTACAATTTTCTTATGGTTATTTAATCATTTTTAAGTTTTTGATCATTTCCTTTTTTTTCGTTAACTAAAGTTTACTTTACGATACTTTACGATCCTTTACGATACCTTACGTTTACTTTACGATACTTTACGATACTTTACGATACTTTACTTTACTTTCCTTTACGTTTACTTTACTTTACGATACTTTAAACGTCTTTAAACGTCTTTTTTTTAGTCCACAGTCAGCAGAAAATGAAACCGGTGGTAGCGTCGTTGGCGATTTTGGGCGTCATCGGTACGATCGCCGTTTTTCAGGCTGTTCGCGCTCAGGATAGCCCCGATTCCCCGGAAGGCCCGGAGATTCGCGAGGCTAACACCACGTTAAGCCGAACGAAACGACAATATGGTAAATTTTCCCCTTTTTGAGCAACCACTAGAATTGGTTTACCAGGTTGCCCAACCGGTTGCTACTCGTCGTGCTCGAACAATCAGCAATGTGTTCAATATCAAGCCATCTGCATTTCCGGATGCTGCTGCGGATCGTCGACAACAACTCTTGCCAGTAAGTAGTACATTAGACTTAAACCCTGACCGAATCTTGCCCTAAAGCCTGGCCTAAAGCCTGGCCAAAAACCTGGCCTAAAGCCTGGCCTAAAGCCTGGCCTAAAGCCTGGCCTAAAGCCTGGCCTAAACCCTGGCCTAAACCCTGACCACTTTCTGGATACGGTAGCTGAGAAAGGGAAAAAGAGGAAAAGAGGAAAAAGACTGCTAGGAGCAAGGACTAGGTCAATTTTAGACTGGATATCGTAGGGAGGAGTAGGCAGCCGATAAAGAGGATTAAATCAATTTCTGCTATCTTTAACCAAATAAAATCTAAATCCTGGATATCACGGCGCATTTTGGCGGAAGAATTGTGCGTCTAATGTGAAAAGAGTACGGTAGCTCAGAGTGGTAGCGGAAGACTCTGAAGCGGAAAAAGAGGATTAAATCAATTTCTGCTATCTTTAACTAAATAAAATCTAAATCCTGGATATCACGGCGCATTTTGGCGAAAGAATTGCTTGTCTAATGTGAAAAGATTACGGTAGCTCAGAGTGGTAGCGGAAGACTCTGAAGCGGAAAAAGAGGATTAAATCAATTTCTGCTATCTTTAACCAAATAAAATCTAAATCCTGGATATCACGGTGCATTTCGGCGGAAGAATTGCGCGTCTAATGTGAAAAGATTACGGTAGCTCATAGCGCGGGTGTACAAAGAAGAAAAACCCAACAGGAATGAGTACCATTGTTGCTCGTGAGGTCCAACTAGTTTTTGATTTGCTTTAAACTGTTAAGTTCATCCAATCAACTCAAAAATATTCAATCACTAGACGATTTTATGGCTTCATTTTACAGTCACTTCACCTCTTTCCCCTCTTTTCCTCATCCATTTCTTGCTAATTACGTAAAGTTTCTCAAATATTTGTCTGTGTTCGGTGCTCAAGGCCTCCTTTTGCCCAAATCCTTGCGCAAAGCTCTTCAAAATGTCAGAGAAGCTATAGAAAGCGTCCCCAGGCGAAAGGCGAAAACGTTGAGTGTTTCCCAGAACTGAACACATCTAGAAATGGACTGAAGTGATCGATTGAAGCAAGGAAAAGACAAAAGCTTGATAAATTAAAATCAAATCTATCACTATTAACTTTAGCCGCTTGCTCCGGAGGGCCAGCTGTTGCTGCTTGCCTTGGTGGGCTCTGTGGACAGGGATACTTCTGCTCGTCGAACAATTATTGCTGCAGATGTGCCGCTGGAAACTCGACTGGTTAGTTTTTGGTTTTGTTTGGAATTTAAAACTGTTTGACACTGATCTACTTAGATTTCTAGGAGTCAGTTTTGAATGAGAAAGGTTTTGAAAGGCCTTGAAAGGTCTTGCACGCCTTTCAAGCCTTTCAAGCATTTCAAGAACGGCTTTTTAAGAAATCTGAGCCTTTCCCAGCTGAATAGTCTATCCAAGGCATAGCTAAAACGAATCTAAATCGAAATCTAATCTATAATCTTTCAAGTCTGGACAGTTTAGTATCTGAAGAAGTATCTGCAGTTTAACTACAGTACAGTCGCGTAGTCGCTACTGTTTTACTGATAATTTTGTGATTTTGTGAATTAACAGATAAACTAAACTCTTCAAGTCATTTGATAGCGCTGAATCTACTATCGAAAGTTAGTCGAAGAGTTGCAGCGGCATAGTTTGCGCAAAGCTTGCGAAGCCTAAGCCTAAGCCTATCCAAGCTAGGCATAGCTAAAAGAAAGAAATCGAAAGAAATCGAAAACTTGAATGTGAAACGAATAACAGAAGTCCTTAACAAAATTTAGCTCACATAAAAAGAATCGTCATTAGTACGGCACGCCTAAGGCACGCTTAAGCCCAAGTTCAAGACTAAGCCCGCCTAAGCCTATGTCTAACCACGCCTAAACCACGCCTAACTCTACCCTAAGCCATGTCTAAGGCACGTTTAAGTCTAAGGCACATCTAAGCCTTAGAACGCCTAAGGCACGCCTACCTAAGGCACGTCCAACCCTAAGCCATGTCTCAGCTTAAGCCTAAACCTAGGCACACGTAAAGCACGCCTAAGGCACGCCAAAGTCTAAGCCTAAGCCTAAGCCTAAACCTAAGCCTAAGCTTGAGCCAAAACTAGGCCAACCCTAAGCCATTCCTAAGGCCCGCCTAAGCTTAAGCCTAAACCTAAGCACACGTAAAGCACGCCTAAACCTAAGCCTAAATCTAAGCCTAACCACACCTAAGCACGCCTAAGCCCAAGCCGAAGCCAACCCTAAGCCATTCCTAAGGCCCGCCTAAGCACGCCTAAGGCTAAGCACGCCCAGGCCTAAGCACGCCTAAGACACGCTTAAACCTAAGCATAAATCTAAGCGTAAGCATGCCTAAGGCAAGCCTAGGCACGTCTAAGCCTAAGCCTCAATTCCAAGCGGATGTGCATTAGCTCTGGGAACTGGTCAAGATCCAGTAAATCAGGGGTAAGCACAAACCCAAATAGGCCTAGTGCGAGGCGCTGGCCGCAGCCTTCGCACTAAGTCCAATTCTAGGCACGCCTAAGCCTAAGCATAAGCACACCTAAACCACCCCTAAGCCAATCCTAAGCCAATCCTAAGCTAAGCCTAAGCCAAGCCTTAGGCAAGCCTTAGGCAACTCTTAGCCAACCCTAAGCCAGCCCTTAGCCAACCGTTATCCAACCCTTAGCCAAGCCTTAGGCAATCCTAGGCCAACCCTTAGCCAACCCTTAACCAATCCTAAGCCAATCCTAAGCCAACCCTAAGCCAACCCTTAGCCAATCCTAAGCCAACCATCTATTTTCCAGGCCCATGCGTGAACAAAGTGTGCCCCACCGGCTACTTGTGCAACACGAACGACTACTGTTGCCCATTGGGATCGGGTGGAGTGCTTGGTCCATGCGTGAACGGCGTTTGCCCCACCGGGTACACGTGCGGCGCCGGAAATTTGTGCTACCTCTCGACGGTCGGAAAGAAATAAGCTGAAAGTCCCATCATCCACCAAAGAGGGCTTCCAAATCGTATTATCCCGAAGAGAAATCTCAGCCAGCTTCTTTTGTTTCGCCGCCCATCTGGAAGCCCTCATCCAGTGATCTTGCTCAATTCCGATTCCAAAATACGCGTTCATATGTTTGTCCTCCACTAAGTGATAAGAGCATCTCTAATGTTGTTTTTTTTTCTTTCTTGTTTACAATTTATTTGTAACAATTTATTGTTTACAATAAGAGTTTTTCTTATCTTTTTGTATGGTCGATGTTGCGACAAAGCACCTTCACCGGTGTTTTAAAAGCCAAAAAAGTCTTTCGATCTTTCTGTCTTTCAATAAAATAGTCTTTCAAGCCTTTTTCAAACCTTTTTCAAAGCCTTTTCGTTCTTTTCGATAGTTCAAAACAAACAAACAAACGTTTTAACTTATTATATTTATTCATTATATTTATTTATTTCTTTTTTTCCCTTCGCCGTGACACTCTTTTTCATTGTTTCAAACTGGCGTTTAAACCTTGTGGTTTCTATTAAAAATAAAGTCATTTGATAAATCAAAAAAGGCCAAAAAAGGCCAAAGAAAAGGCAGAACTCAACTCCAAAAAAAGACAGAACTCAACTCCAAAGAAAAGGCAGAACTCAACTCCAAAAGCAGAACCAACCCAAAGAAGCAGAACTCAACCCAAAAAGAGAACTCAACAAAAAAGGCAGAACACAACTCCAAAGAAAAGGCAAAACTCAACTCCAAAGAAAAGGCAGAAATCAACTCCAAAGAAAAGGCAAAACACAAAAAGCAAACTAAAAACGAAAGCAAACTACAAAACGGGTAATCGATTTTTTTTCTTTTGAAAAGAACAGAAATCCTTCTTTCTTTATCGTTTATGGCAATCTTTAGGCACAAATTTTTGCCTTTTTCTTTCTTTTCTTTTCCGCTTCGAGCAATTCTTGAACAAAATAGAGACAATTTTTGAGTGAAAACATTAATTCTTGAGCAATTTTGACGAAATTCTCTCTAGCTTGATCGATTCTTGAACAGTTTTCATGAAATTCTCTCTATCTTGATTGATTCTAGAATAGTTTTCATGAAATTCTCTCTAGCTTGATCGATTCTAGAATAGTTTTCATGAAATTGTCTCTAGCTTGATTGATTATTGAACAGTTTTCATGAATTTGTCTCTATCTTGATTGATTCTTGAATAGTTTTGACGAAATCCTCCCTATCTTGATCCATTCTTCAACAGTTTTCCTAAAATTCTCTCTATCTTGATCGATTCTTCAACAATTTTCACTTGTCTTCTCTGTCTTGAACGATCAGTGAACGAAAAATTTACCCTCAGTTTTCTCTACTTTCCTCTACACTAGATCTGGATCTACACTAGATCAGTTTTTCAAAAAAAAACCCTACATTGAATGTTTCTTTTGCTGTAGTTGATAAATTGAACTTTTTAAATTCAACAAGTCATTTACCTCAAAAGCCAAAAGTAAATCGCCTTTAGCCATTTACCGCCAATTCCTTTCCAATAAAACCCTAACTTGACGCTATTTTTCTACTTGCTAGTCATTGGTTGGCAAGTAGAAAAATTGGCTTAATCAGTAGAGCCAATCGTAGCCAGGATTTTCACCAGTGACAGCCAGTGACTTTCAGTTTGTCTTTCAGTTTGTATTTCAGTTTAACTTTCAGTTTAACTTTCAGTTTAACTTTCATTTAACTTTCAGTTTAACTTTGAGTTTAAAAAAGTAAAAATGGCTAACTTCAATGGCTTTTTTTGGCTTTTTTTGTCTTTAACTTTCAGCTTTTTGACTTTTTAATTTCCAGCAAAAGGATTTGACGGGTTTAATCTTAAAGCCAAATGGATCCTAAAGCTCAAATCGAAGTCTTACGATATTAGCCAATAGTCAAGTATAATAGTCGATTTTCCCTTGACCTAGCCCAGATTTTGATTTCAAGTCGAATTTTGAGTTCAAGTACAAAGTACAAAGTTGGCTCAGTTGGTAGAGCTCAGGCTCAGGCTCAGGCTCAGGCTCAGGCTCAGGCTCAGGCTCAGGCTCAGGCTCAGGCTCAGGCTCAGGCTCAGGCTCAGGTTGAGGCACAGGCTCAGGCTGAAATTCGGTTGCCTGGGATTGGTCTCGGGTTCGGATCCCCGTGCCGACCTTTTCGTTTTTGATTTCCGAAAAGGAAAAAACTGTATTCAACTGGATCCTAAAGCCCAAATCTAGCTGTTAATCTTAGAATTGACAGATCTAGATCTGGACTTAGCTAGATCTGGACTTAGCTAGATCTGGACTTAGCTAGGCCTGGACTTAGCTAGGTCTGGGCTTAGTTAGACCTGGCCTTAGCTAGATCTGGCCTTAGCTAAAGCTGGCCTTAGCTAAAGCTGGACTTAGCTAGATCTGGACTTGGCTAGGTCTGGACTTAATTAGATCCAGCCCAGATTTCCAATTCAAAGACCAAGTCAAGTTGAACTCTTGTCAAGACCAAAACACTAAAGCGATCCTTCCATGTTCCTGGTCTGGCTATTCCTGGGTTATAGGGTTTATTTTCGATCTGATCGTCGTTTTTTCTCGTCTTCTCCTTCCACTTCCCAGTTCAATCAGGTGTTGTGTTTCCTTTGTAGTGTCCATAGGGATGATGGGGGATTAGCTGAAGGGAAATGGAGGACTTCAAGAATTCCAGAGAGCACTTCCCCTCTCTCTTCCTCTCTCTTCCTCTCTCTTCCTCTCACTTTTCCGTCTTTTCCATAAAGACTCTCTTTTGTCACGATGGGTAAATAGACTGTGTTCGAGACGAAATCGCTCCCTCGTCGTTGAGGAAAAGGAATTTTAAGCGAAAGAAAGAAAGAAGGGTCCTAAGCGGGGATCCTAAGCAGATCAGGAATCCTTTTCCACCATCTGGACAAACTCGCTTACATTGCTAATAGTGATTTGATGAGTGTGGGCCACTTTTCTCTAGTGAAATCAGATTATAGGGGAATTTTTTGACAGACAAATTGACAAAAAACAAAAGAGACAAATTGGGGAAAGCCACAAATCGATAGAGTTTTTTCGAAGCCACGAATCGATAGAGTGTTGATTATTAGAAGGAAATAGGGGTCAAATGAAAAGGAAACAATCAACAAGTCTATCGTCAACCAATCTATCTACCAGTCTACCAATCTATCTACCAATCTACGAATCCAAATCGAAATCCAATTACATTGCTGGGTCTACCTCGAGGTATGGGTCTACCTCGAGAGATTCTAACTTACCTACTATTGCGTAGAAGTGTTACAGAGCTTAACGAAGTGTTACAGAAGCTCTAAAATGTTATGGAAGTTCTAAAATCTATTTACCCATCGTGACAAAAGAGAGTCTTAATCCCAAGAAGTCAACCAATCTATCTACCAATCTAAAATGTTATAGAAGTTCTAAAAGTATTTGGTTTCTTAAATTTCAAACCAATTCAAAGCAATTCAAACCAATTCAAAGCAATTCAAAGCAATTCAAACCAATTCAAAGCAATTCAAAGCAATTCAAACCAATTCAAACCAATTCAAACCAATTCAAACCAATTCAAACCAATTCAAAGCAATTCTTCAGTCTTTTAATTTCAATTTCCTCTAATTTTTCAACTTTTCAACTTTTCAGCCTAGAATGCCCGTTTTGCGAGTCGTCACGAGTTTAGCTTCACGACAAGTACCTCCCGATTTTGAAACCGGCCTCCCAAAAGTTATTGCAGCCATTATGAACAAGGATTTAAGCAGATTTTGGCTAGAGGTTGATTTTAATTTGAAATTTAATTTATCACCGAAAAGCTTCAAGGAACCTTAGGAAGGAATTTTAGCTTACCACCGATGCCCGTTTGACCCTGGGTGGCTCGAGTGAGCCGGCAGCCTGCGTTTTTGTGAGTTTTTGATTGAAACTTGTCTTACTTCCTTTGCAAGTACAGGCAAATGCAATTTCAGAATCCTTTTAAAAGTGAATCAAGAAATTTCTAGTGGTTTTCCATGAACTTTTCCAACTTTTTGGAAGTTCTGGAAGTCACTAGAGATAATGGTAAAGAAAAAATGGGGATTAAAGCATTTTGAAGATCGTTGAAGTGGCTATAAGAGATCTCGGGATGAATCAATAAATTCACAGCGGTTTTCCATGAACTTCTCAAACTTTTTCGGAGTTCGGAAGTCACTAGAGATAAGGGAAAGAAAAATGGGGTTAAAGCATTTTGAAGATCGTTGAAGTGGCTATAAGAGATCTCGGGATGAATCAATAAATTCACAGCGGTTTTCCATGAACTTCTCAAACTTTTTCGGAGTTCTGGAAGTCACTAGAGATAATGGGAAAGAAAAAATGGGGATTAAAGCATTTTGAAAATTATTGAAATGGCTTTAAAAGATCTCGGGATGAATCAAGAAATTTCTAGTGATTTTCCCTAAACTTTTCAAACTTTTTGGGAGTTTTGGAAGTTACGAGAGATATTAGTAAAGAAAAAATCGAGATTAAAGCATTTTGAAAATCGGTGGAAATTCTATTTTCAAATTTTCCACCGAAAACCTATCAATTTGGTGGCCTGCATTCCAGCTTTAATAAATTTGACGCCCAAACACTCCGTAAACTTCAGGGCTAGATTCTTTTCCTATCAGAAACCAAGAGCTGGCTTCTGTGCTGGCTTCTTAGCTGGCTTCTGAGCTGACTTCTGTGCTGGCTTCTGAGCTGGCTTCTTAGCTGACTTCTGTGCTGGCTTCTGAGCTGGCTTCTTAGCTGGCTTCTGAGCTGGCTTCTGTGCTGGCTTCTGAGCTGGCCTTGGTATCTTGCCTTGCCTTTTCATGACAAACTTCTCTGTAAGCTTGCTTACAAAAATCTAAAACCTTCGTCTTCTGGCTTAAACTGGAATCTTAAATCATGCAAAATTTCAGGTGAAATCAATCGGCTGTGTGTCGGCCGCGGAAACGCCGAATCTCACCGAGAAAATCACGGCTTTCTGCGAGGAGAAGTTGCAGTTGCCAAAAGATCGGGTGAGCCGATTGAGGTTGAGATTTGGTATTGCTAATCTAAAGCAAAGATTAGAGCAACTAACAGCTAAGCTTAGCAATGCCAAAATGACGATAAATCGACAGCTTTGGGTTTCCTTTATTTCACTCAATTAGACAAAGTCGCTTTGCTAACAAAGCAAAAAAAAAGCTTGATCTTGCAAATGAAACTAGAAAAAGTCAAAAAAAGCCAAAAAAGTCCAAAAAAGTCAAAAAAAGCGAATTTCAAGATTTCCAATTGTTTCCCAGCCTAATTTCATCCATTTCCAGGTCGGGATTTCAAGATTTCCAATTGTTACCCAGCCTATTTCCAGATCGGGATTCAATTCTTCGACCTCGATCCGAACCTCATCGCTCGTGGCGGGCTCACCGTCGCCGAGAAGTCGAAGCAATGAATGAAAGCTGTAGCCAAAGGAGCCAAAATTTTATACAAATAAACCATGACTTACAGTATGTTTTACAGTATTTTAAAAAGATATTCAGTTATTTAACGGCTATCAAACATTTGATAAGCCCCGCCCCTTTTTCCCATTATCAATCTAACTTTAAGCGCAAATTTCTTGGTGTTGAGTTGTCGAATTTGAATATTTTTAAAATCATTGGATTCTCCAAGTCTTTCTCTATCGATTGGTATAAAAATTATTGAAATTGGATGGGCCAATCCCGAGAAATTTGAGCTGAAAGTTTGCCAGTGGGAAAAGGGGCGGAGCCTCGCGTATAAAAGGTCACCCTGCCTCGCTCCCTTTTTGCCCCGCCCCTTTTCTCGTCGCTGTCTTCATAGCTATGGCAAAGATCACCAAAAATACCTATTCGCGCTAAAGCTCGGCCGGCTAGGGCGACCTTTTATACGCGTATAAAAGCTCGCCCTGCTCGGCATCCTCTTATCCCGCCTCTTTTCTCATTGGCAATGTCGGGATTACGGTAGCTTTAGCGTGAATATGTACCTTTGCCATAGCTATGAAGACAGCGACGAGAAAAGGGGCGTGGTAAAAAAGGGAGCGAGGCAGGGCGACCTTTTATACGCGAGGCTCCGCCCCTTTTCCCATTGGTAAACTTTCAGCTCAAATTTCTCGGGATTGGTCCATCCAATTTCAATAGTTTTTCAACCAATCGATAGAGAAAGACTTGGAGAATCTGATGCTATCAAAGAATATTCAAATTCGCCGACCCAACACCAAGAAATTTAAGCTTAAAGTTAGTTTATCTCTTCTTGGGTATCTTCTGGAAAATAATTCAAAGAAAAAAACGAATTTGTTCATAGAATACTTTTAAAACACTCAAAAGACACAAAAAAAAAGTCGATTTCTCAGCAATTTTCAGCAATTTCAGCAATTTCAGCACAAACTCGAAATTCTTAGTTACTTTTCAAAAAAAGAAAATAAGCTCAAAACAAAGGAAAAATTGGGGAAAAGAATCGAAAAAACAAAAAAAAATAAAAAAAGATAAAAAAAGACAAAAAAGACAAAAAAGACAAAAAAGACAAAAAAAAAGACTTTTAAAGTCAAATTAAACGCAAGGAATGTCTAGGTAAAGTTGAATTTTAAAGAAATGGTGGGGAAGTTCTTAAAAAAAACTACACAATTACATCAAGAATTACGCTTCAATTAGTGAAATTATTTAAATTTTTAAGAAAAATTCCTGATTCTTGCTCGAATCTGGGACTATTTAACTAGACAGTCAACTAGACAGTCAACTAGACAGTCAACTAGACAGTCAACTAGACAGTCAACTAGACAGTTAACTAGATAGTTAACTAGACAGTTAACTAGTCAGTTAACTAGACAGCCAACTAGTCAGTTAACTAGACAGTCAACTAGACATTTAACTAGATAGTTAGCTAGATAGTTAACTAGATAGTTAACTAGATACTTAACTAGTCTGTCAACTAGTCTGTCAACTAGTCTGTCAACTAGTCTGTCAACTAGTCTGTCAACTAGTCAGTCAACTCAACAGTCAACTAGACAGTCAACTAGACAGCTAACTAGTCAGTTAACTAGTCAGTCAACTAGACAGTTAACTAGACAGTTAACTAGATAGTTAACTAGTCTGTCAACTAGTCTGTCAACTAGTCAGTCAACTCAACAGTCAACTAGACAGTCAACTAGACAGTCAACTCAATGCTAAATATTATTTTGTAAAGAAATACGTGAGTTTTCTAATGACTATTAGGATTTGATAAAACTCGATTTTCTTCAAAAGTTGAAAGTTTTTGAAAATCCCAATCCAATATTAAAAAAATTACGGTATTTTGGTTTAGACAATGAACAAGAATTAGAAGAAAGAATTAGCAATTAGAATTAGAAAAACAAGAATTAGAAGAAAGATTTCCCTAAACGTTAATGTTTTGAATCGCCTAAACTCGGCAACGAGTACATTTTCTTTGTCCAATAGAAAAGGAGCATCACGGGCACGGTGACGAGCGAAAGAAAAATTGTCATAAAAATCAAATCGAGACGTTCCGCGATGCGCACATATCTGAAAAGAATAAAATTAAAGCGAACTTTATACAGTGATCATTTGAAATCGTTTCCTCGAGCTAAACAAATAGAGTTTTGTTTTTGTTTTGCTTTTGTGTTTGCTCTTTTTTCCACTCACCCATTCGATTCTTGCTTTTTCTTTTGCGAGACATGCTCGTGAATGTCGAGCTCGTCCATTTGTAGCTAAAAATCTCTTTTTCTAAAGCTTTAACTTTTATAAATAATTAGAGTACAAAATTGGAAATATCTTTGGCTCTCCTGGAAGTCACAGTAATCAGAACTACAGTAATCAGCTGGCTTTCTACAAAATTGGAAATATCTTTGGCTCTCCTGGAAGGCACAGTAATCAGAACTACAGTAATCAGCAAACTTTCTACAGAATTAGAAATATCTTTGGCTCTTCTGGAAGGCACAGTAAGCTAAAGCAGTTAAAAGCGATTTTTCTCAAAGCTACGATAATTTTCGGCTACAGTAACTCAATGAGAAAGCTTTAGTAAACCGGTAACTGCTATCCAGAACTATGCACTCCAAAAACTACCGCTAGCCTACCGTAATTCAAAGCTACGGTAAACCGTTTTACCTGTATATTCTCGCAAGCGTCGATCAATCGCTTGATAAACACCTCTATTAATTTGATCTTTCGCTGAGTCGGGTCAATGAGCGCACCGTTTCGCTCGTGCGCGGCGACGAGCTGATGGAAGGGTGAGTCTGGTGATCGGCGAACTTTCTACAAAATTGGAAAGATTTTTGGCTCTTCTGGAAGTCACAGTAATCAAAACTACAGTAATCAGCAAACTTTCTACAGAATTAGAAATATCTTTGGCTCTCCTGGAAGTCACAGTAATCAGAACTACAGTAATCAGCGGGCTTTCTACAAAACTGGAAACATTTTTGGTTCTCCTGGAAGTCACAGTACTCAAAACTACAGTAATCAGGGGGCTTTCTACAAAATTAGAAATAACTTTGGCTCTTCTGGAAGTCACAGTAATTAAAACTACAGTAATCGGCGGGCTTTCTATAAAATTGGAAATATCTTTGGTTCTTCTGGAAGTCACATTAATCAAAACTACAGTAATCAGCAAACTTTCTACAAAATTAGAAATATCTTTGGTTCTTCTGGAAGTCACAGTAATCAGAACTACAGTAATCAGCGGGCTTTCTATAAAATTAGAAATATCTTTGACTCTCCTGGAAGGCACAGTACTCAAAACTACAGTAATCACAGTAAACTACAGCTTTACACTCACCGTGTACTTTTTCGGTCTCAAGAGAAAAATGTATAGCAACCAATGCGGGGGCTCTCTGCCGTAGCGGCCAAGTCGATGAACCTAAAAATGCTTATAATTGCTTTTAATCAAATCCAGCGCCAGGCTCTCCTAATTTTCTGTTAAGAAAGCGTCATTTGGAATGAAACGTTTCGCTTTTGTACTTTCGCAAAAATGGCTTAACTTGACATAAATGATAAAGAGGTACAGGGAAAATTATATAGAGTTTTTGAAAGTTTTCCGCCCTAATTTCATTCAATCTTGAAAGATCTTGAGCCAGGAAAGATCTTGAGTAAGATTAATTGCTTTAAGAGTTAAGGAAAAGCCTCAAAAAGCTCAGTGAACAGAATTTCCTGAATTTGATTGACTTGAAGTCAAAGAATCGAAGCAGAATTGAATTCAATCACTTTCAGGAAATTCTGTTCATTGAGCTTTTTGAGGCTTTTCCTTAACTTCTCCCAAATTCCTCAAAACGGTTGTTTTTTTGGCTTTTGCTATGTTGTGCTTTCCAGTTTGACGAAATTAAGAAATTTTTCAACGAATCGCCTTTCCTGGAAGACTAGAATTTGCAGAAAAGCATCGCAGAAAAAAAAAATTGCAGAGAAGCTTCAATCGCTTAAGCTCGCTTCTAAGCTTCAATACCAAAAAAAAAGCCTGAAACTCACTCTCATGACAATCCCGGTTGTCATTGCCGCAACACTGACGATCACCATGTTGAAGAGAAAGTAGGCAACTGAAATTCGGGAATAACGGGAATAACTTTCATCTAAAGGTTCTGTTTGGGTAGGCTAATTTTTGGCAATTCTTTTTGCGCACCTGGGCCATTTGGGTAACTGGGCCATTTGGGTAACTGGGCCATTTGGGTAACTGGGCCATTTGGGTAACTGGGCCATTTGGGTAACTGGGCCATTTGGGTAACTGGGCCATTTGGGTAACTGGGCCATTTGGGCAACTGGGCCATTTGGGCAACTAGGGCATTTGGGTAACTGGGCCATTTGGGTAACTGGGCCATTTGGGTAACTGGGCCATTTGCGCGACTGAGTCGTTTGGGTAACTAGGGCATTTGGGTAACTGGGTCGTGTGCGCAACTCGTCATAACTTTCTTCTAAGTTAGCCAATCTTTATGATGTTGGTGTCATTTTGTAGAACTCAATAAGTGCTACAAAATGACACCAATATCATAAAGATTGGCTGACTTAGAAGAAAGTTATGGCGAGTTGCGCAAGCGACCCAATTGACCCAAACGACTCAGTCGCGCAAATGGCCCAGTTACCCAAATGCCCCAGTTGCCCAAATGGCCCAGTTGCCCAAATGGCCTAGTTGCCCATATGGCCTAGTTGCCCAAATGCCCTAGTTACCCAAATGGCCCAGTTGCGCAAAAAGAATTGCAGAAATTAGCCTACCCCATTCTGTTTTTTTAAAAATTTTGTTTTATTTTATAAAACGCTATCCCCATTTTGACTAAATTTAGCCTCTTTTGTATTATCGGAAATAAGATTTGGCAAAAATCTTTCGAGATCTCTTTAAGCGCATTTCAATGAGAGAGATCCCTCACCGTGATAATGGGCTATCAAATCGTGGGGAAAGACGGGATGGCCACACTATTTCGAATTTACGCCCACCCCCATTGAAAGTAAAATTTGAGGGAAAACACAGCTGATCGCTTTGCATCGCTTTGCAACGCTTTGCATCGCTTTGCATCGCTTTTCATCGATTCGCAGTGATATGGTTCCAATATGGTTCCAATATGGTTCCAATATGGTTCCAATATGGTTCCAATATGGTTCCAATATGGTTCCAATATGGTTCCAATAGTGATCAGCACTGGGAATTTGATGTGACTCTTGATTTTCAATGCTGGTGAGTAAGAAGAGTGAGCTAAAGAGAAGAGTAAGCTGCCATGCACTTCCTGGTTTAAAAGCATTCTGATAAGAAAAGAAGCTAGCCCTGAAGTTTATGGAATGTTTGAGCGTAAAATTTATTAAACCTGGAATGCAGACCACCAAATTGATAGGTTTTTGGTGGAAAATTTGAAAATAGAATTTCCACTGATTTTCAAAATGCTTCTATCTCTATTTTTTCTTTACTAATATCTCTAGTGACTTCCAGAACTCACAAAAAGTTTGAAAAGCTTATGGAAAACCATTGAAAATTTCTCGATTCATCCCGAGATCTCTTATAGCCACTTCAACAATTTTCAAAATGCTTTAATCCCCATTTTTTCTTTACCAATATCTCTAGTGACTTCCAAAACTCTCAAAAAGTTTGAAAAGTTCAGAGAGAACCATTGGTAATCTGTTGATTCACCCAGAGATCTCTAGAAATAATTTTAACAATTTTCAAAATGCTTTAATCTCCATTTTTTCTTTACTAATATCTCTAGTGACTTCCAAAACCCCCAAAAAGTTTGAAAAGCTTATGGAAAACCACTGAATTTGTCGATGTAATAATAGATTGTCTGGGCTTGGTCTGGACTAGCGCTTGTAAGTTGAATACTATTGAAGCCAGACGGGCAAGACTCAAGCCATAGTTTTTTAAACCACATCTCTAACCTAATAAACCTGTTTTTACCAAATCATTCCCCTTTTCCCAGTTTCGGCATTTCGGGGGGTATCTTTTGATCGCAGAGTGATCGTTGCCGAATCCACAACATTTATCACACACGCAGCTGTCGCCACATTGTGATGAGAAAGCCAGAAAACCGAGTGGAAAGCCGTTCCCCAAAAACAAAATGCGGAAAATAAATGGATAATGCTTAAAACTTTTCGCACAAAAGGTGTCAAGAACAGAACAAGAACAGCTTTTTTTTTTTCAGAGAAAATCGACTAATTGTTCTTGCAAAAAAGCAGTAGAGCTGGGTTTTCTTTAAAAAATTTTCTCTCTAATTTCATTAAATGAATGCCAGGAAAGATTTTGAGTAAGATTAATTTCTTTGGGAAGTTTAACCCCAGCTCTGCCCAGCCAAAACCCCCAGCTCTACTTTGAAAAGCCAAGTGATCAGCTCAGCTCAAAATTGCTCAAAACTGATCAGCTCAAAACGATTGTTTTTTTGGCTTTTCCTATGTTGTGCGTTCCAGTTTGAGGCAATTCAAAAAATTTTTCACAAATCGACTTTTCTGGAGCTAGAGTTTTCGTCGGTTCAGTTACACAATAGTGAGTAAAGCAAAATTTCAGCAAATCTGTGAATTGGTTGTTTCGTTTTACAGTGTGCACTCCAGTTTGCAAGAAAAGCCCAGCCGCAACCACCACACCTTTCTTCCATAGCGATTTTTATCGCCTTTCACTTACCCAACAATGGTACAGCCGTCCAGCTGGGGTTTTTTTAAAAAATTTTCTCTCTAATTTCATTAAATGAATGCCAGGAAAGATTTTGAGTAAGATTAATTGCTTTGGAAGTTTAACCCCAGCTCTGCCCAGCCAAAACCCCCAGCTCTACTTTGAAAAGCCAAGTGATCAGAATCGCCGGAAACTGATCAGCTCAAAATTGCTCAAAACGCTGATTTTTTTGGCTTTTCCGATGTCGTGCGTTCCAGTTTGACCAAATACAAAAAATTTTTCACAAATCGACTTTCCTGGAGCTAGAGTTTTCGTCGGTTCACTTACGCAATAGTGAGTTAAACAAAATTTCAGCATATCGGTGAATTGGTTGTTTCGTTTTACAATGTGCACTCCAGTTTGCAAGAAAAGCCCAACCGCAACCACCATACCTTTCTTCCATAGCGATTTTTATCCCCCTTTCACTTACCCAACAATGGTACAGCCGTCGAGCTGTGCGGCACCTTTTCACTGACCACCAGCGACAGCACGGCCATCGTCAAGATCGACGTGACGCCAAGGGTGAAGCGCTCCTAAACTCTGAAATGACAATTTCTGAAAGGACCATCAGAAGTGCCAAATTTGCCCAATTTGCATTTAACCGAATTTGCCCAATTTGCATTTAACAACATTTTCCCTTATTTTTTTTTTTGCAAAAAACTTGTCTTTTTTTTAGTCTAATTTTGTCATGTGACCTCCAATTCATTTATTTTTCGCACCTCTCTTTCTCCCGTCGTCGAAAACCTTGCAAAAAGTCCAACGATCGAGATTGCACACCTGAAAAGAGGCAAAATTCGTTTTCGAACTGTTTCAACTTGGCACCGTTTTTCGAAATCAAACCTAGCTATAAAGGGCGCTCAAAATGGCCTCAAAATGGCCTCAAAATGCTCTCAAAATGGCCTTAAAATGACCTCTAAATGGCCTCAATATCTCAATGGGATTTCGAGAAAAGCATTTCCAAAGTTTCGTCAATTTTTTATTAAACTGCGACCTCATCCAGGGCGTTTGTAAGTAAAACTCTTCTAAGTTCCTCTGAAAGCTTTGAAAAAACTGACTGGTATCGCTATGGCTGGCAAATAGCTAATTACTGCTTTAAAAACACTATAATAATCTTAAAGAAGTGTTTTCCAAAAGTTTTCCAAAACGAGGCGGCAAGTGGAATCGAACCTATGCCAGCAGGTCCCTATGTCGGCTGGGCCCTAAGTCGGCTAGGCCCTTTCTGGAAATGTTTTGGTGATGAATTAACCAATATCAAATCCAATAACAGATCATGATCGTTAGCTCGATCTATTTGTCGACTCGCTATCGTTGCTCTTGTTTTCGGTCGACGTGGCGACGTCTTATAGGTCGCGGTTTACCAAAAATCGCCAAAACTTTGGACACGTTTTTTCTCTTTTTTCTCTCTTCACTTTTTTCTTCTCGTAAACCTCTTATATCAAACGGGTATGCCAGATGGAAAGCGATTGTGCACAGAGAGAACGCACAAAGGGTTTTTCTTCTTTTGCTTTTTGGATGACACAAAAACGAGATGTTTAGCTGAAAATTTGTGCCAAGGGTTTTCGGGGACGGTGAATCGATTGGAGATATTCATTTAATGAGCAAGTATCGTTTTAAACAAAGTTATGAGACTTTAGCTGAAGATTTGTGCTCAGGGGTTTTCGGGGACGGTGAATCGATTGGAGCCATTTATTTAATGAGCAAGTATCGTTTTAAACAAAGTTATGAGACTTTAGCTGAAGATTTGTGCTCAGGGGTTTTCGGGGACGGTGAATCGATTGGAGCCATTTATTTAATGAAAAAGTATCGTTTTAAACGTCTAAACAAAGTTATGAGTCTTCAAAAGGCGTTTATTTTGTAGATCCGGTTTCGAAAATCGGTGGCAAGTTGAAATAGTTCTCTAGTTCTCTAGTTCTCTAGTGCGATATAGACTGCACTTTGTCTAGAGGAAAATATAGCTTTTGAGCTATCAAACTCACATGATGTACGAGGGAAAAGTGAGCGTGACCATGTAAAACAAGGGTTTTCTTTTCACGTGCACCTCGTACTTGATCTCGCTCACGTTGATGCCCTCGTGCTCGAACTCGCGCTCTTGCACACGTACCTAGAAAAGTTGTAGTGATTTGTAGTGATTTGTTAAAGCTCTAGCCTCTCATCTGAGCTTGAACTAGGGCAAATCAAAAATTTACGCCCTGCCCGGAGTCGAACCCGTGACCTTTCGCTCAACAGCCAATTACTGGCTCACCAGCCAATTGCTCGACAGCCAAATGTGCTAACCATTACACCGCACCTGATTTCCCTTACTCTTGAGGGAGTTAACTAAAAAAAGGATAGCGTGTAGGTAAAACTGAAAAAAAAAATATAAATAGTCAATCAAAGTTGGTAGCAAATTTCGTGTAAATCATAATTAACACAAAAATTTTTGGCCGCAAATAATAGGCAAATAATTTGACCCTTTTGATAGCACCTGAGCCTCTCATTTGTTTCATTTTCTGAAATCTGTCAATTTTGTACGATCCAACGCATTCTGGATTAGCTTCAATTACTGTTTAATTGTTTAATTTGGTTGAATTACGGTTTAAAGCTATCGGCAAGCCAAGGTAATAGTTTTGATTGAAGTTTGATTGAACAAATCTCTTTCTAGAGGAAATAAAGCCTAAAGCTTAAAGCTTAAAGCCTAGAGCCTAAAGCCTAAAGCCTAAAGCCTAAAGCCTAAGCTTAAAGCCTAATGCTTAAAGCCTAAAGCTTAAAGCCTAAAGCCTAAAGCCTAAGCTTAAAGCCTAAAGCCTAGCCTAAAGCCTAAAGCCTAAAGCCTAAAGCCTAAAGCCTAAAGCTTAAAGCTTAAAGCCTAAAGCCCAAAGCCTAATGCTTAAAGCCTAAAGCTTAAAGCCTAAAGCTTAAAGCCCAAAGCCTAAAGCTTAAAGCCCAAAGCCTAAAGCCCAAAGCCTAAAGCTTAAAGCTTAAAGCTTAAAGCCTAAAGCCCAAAGCCTAAAGCCTAAAGCCCAAAGCCTAATGCCAAAGCCTAAAGCCTAAAGCTTAAAGCCTAAAGCCTTGTGTGTTGACTTTAAGGCTCCAAAACGAATAATCCAGCCTTTCCCAAAAACCGTAAAAAGCTCCAATAGCTTGGAAACCAACTCGGCTCGCTGGGATGCACTACTAGAGAAATACTGGAGAAATGCCCTAGAGAAAATACAGTAACTTTTTTTCTTGTCTTTTTGGTCTTTTCTTATTGTTTAGACAAAGAAAGAACTTTTCCCTGATTCGACTTTTCAAAATCGACTTTTCAACGCTCTCGACTACACAACTTGACCAAATAGCATCTTTTTAATCGTTCTGGAATCCATTCGACTCACCCTCAACAAATTCCACTCCTCGTTCGTCGTGTAGTGATCGGTGGCGTGCTCTTTGTGCCCGTGCAATTTGATTTTGTCTTTCCCGTAAACCCAGGAGGCAATCTGAAAGTTGGCAATTACAAGCTGGATGTCAGCACGCAAAACTCCAAAACCAAATCACCTCAAGCGAGCAATTCTGATCGTCGAGCGGGAAGTGCTCGATGTGGATTTCGCCTGAAATCGCGTTTTAAGCAGATTTGAGTTTTCTTTAAATCAATTTTGTTGAAAACACGCCTAAAACTCACAACTGACTGTGGAAACGAACGGCTTCGACGTCTCAACGGAACCATTGTGCAAAATGAGTGCCGGCGCGCGCACCGCGGTCAGGAGATCCTCGTGGTCGAGCCTAACCCTGTCGATTAGTTTTAAATCGTCTTAAGTTGCTTTTATCCCATTTTTTTCTTTACCCGCATCTCTTGTGACTTCCAGAACTCACAAAAAGTTTTGAAAAGTTTATGGAAAACCATTGGAAATTTGTTGATTTACCCCGAGGTCTTGGAGTAATTTTAACGATTTTTCAAAATGCTTCAATCTTTATTTTTTCTTTACCATTATTTCTTGTGACTTCCAGAACTCCCAAAAAGTTTGAAAAGTTTAGCGAAAATCACTAGAAATTTCTTGATTCATCCCGAGGTCTTGGAGTAATTTTAACGATTTTTCAAAATGCTTCAATCTCTATTCTTTCTTTACCAATATCTCTAGTGACTTCCAGAACTCACAAAAAGTTTGTAAAGTTCAGGGAAAACCATTGGAAATTTGTTGATTTACCCCGAGATCTCTTAAAGCCATTTTAACAATTTTTTAAATGCTTCTATCTCTATTTTTTCTTTGCCATTATTTCTTGTGACTTCCAGAACTCACAAAAAGGTTTGAAAAGTTTATGGAAAACCATTGGAAATTTGTAGATTTATCCCGAGGTCTTGGAGTAATTTTAACGATTTTTCAAAATGCTTCAATCTTTATTTTTTCTTTACCATTATTTCTTGTGACTTCCAGAACTCTCAAAAAGTTCAAGAAGAACCCAAAAAATTTCTCGATTCACCTTTAAAAGCCGTGAAAAATGGGTGGTTATCGCTCATTTGCGAGGCGACTCAACGCTCGCCAGCACTGACTCGAATTGATGACCGCCAATCGCTCAAACTTTTGCGCATTTGTTTTTATGGGTTTTTTTTGGGCGAACTGGATAACAGTGAAGCTTTCAAAGGCTCCAGCTACGAAGTAGTCCAAATTTCGGCTTTGAAAAACTTAAGAATTTCGCTTTTTTAGCATTCTAGAACTCAAGTGTGACATCCAGATGCACCAAAAAACTCGCTCACATATTGAAAATGATGATGTCGGGGATCCAAATCTTCTCCAACGGCAACCACGTCTTCGTGATGCCGCCGAACTCGTCGGGATTCCACGCGAGCGACGGGTCATGCCAGCGCTGGAATGGGGGTGATAAAGATGGTGATAAATAAACCGAAACCTCATCCACGTAAACCAGCACGGTCATCGTTTGCTTTAGCTCGTCAATTCCTGAAAAATCGCAGTCCGACAAAGGCAAAAATGTCAAAAATGTAAACAAAAAAAATTTTTTTTTTTAAATCTTCCAATTCTAATTTTTCTTTTCCCAATCTTTCTCCTGACTTCCAGAACGTCAGAAAAAAAGTTCAGAAAGGCTTGAAAGGGTTTTTGATTACCTAGAATGTGGACGATCTCCATCTCGTACTCGACAATCAACCGCCCATCCGGTGGAGCGCTTGGATTGTGCCTTTTCAACAAATACTCTGTCAACTTTTTCGAGGATCCTAAAAAGAAATTGGATTTGTCGTTTCTGAAATTTAAAATTGCCCTCTAGATTGGGCGAATTGGGCGAATTTTAAGTCGAAAATCAAAAAAATTCGCTTTAAAAAGCTGAAGTTGAAACTTTTGATTTGAAACCAAAAATTTGATTCCCAAAAGCTGTTGTGCACTACAGATTGGCCGATTTTTCGAGAAAAAATTACCGTAAATACTGTAATAGTACCCCGCCCCCTCGTACAGTCGCGTAGTCGCAAAGTTTTTTTTTGCGTAGCGCGTAGTTTTTTAATAATTCATTTTTTTCAAAGTGCCCGTACCTCCAAAAAATGCATCCAAAAAATGCAAAAATGCAAAATGCATCATCTCAAAAAATAGCTGTAATTCAGGGCTATTTTTGATACCAAAGATAATGACGGTGCGGAGTGTTGCGTAGTCTAGCTTTGAACGCGTTTTTCTCGACACTGGTTTATGCTACAATGCTCGTTTAAATATCGAAAAATAGCTGAAATTCAGGGCTATTTTTGATACCAAAGATAATGACGGTGCGGAGTGTGCGTAGTCTAGCGAACGCGTTTTCCGACACTGGTTTAGCAAACAATGCTCGTTTAAATATCAAAAAATAGCCCTGAATTTCCGCTATTTTTTGATATTTAAACGAGCATTGTAGCTTAAACCAGTGTCGAGAAAAACGCGTTCAAAGCTAGACTACGCGATGCTTCGGCCGTCATTATAAAAGCATGACGAGAAAAATGCGTTTAAAGTTAGACTACGTGATGCTCCGTCTTTTGATATCAAAAAATAGCTGTAATTCAGGACTATTTTTTGATACCTAAGCGCGCATTGTAGCATAAACCAGTGTCGAGAAAAACGCGTTCAAAGCTAGACTACGCAACACTCCGCACCGTCATTATCGGGGTGGGGTACTATTACAGTATTTACGGTAGGTTCTTTGAGAAAATCGCAAATTATCCATTTTACCCATTCGAAACCGCAGCGTTTTTTCTTTTTTTTTCGTCTACGGACCAAGCCCTTTTTTGACATTTTTGACTCCGAAGCAGTTTATTTATGGTTGGAAAGATGCAAGAGAGTCTCCTACACCATTTATTTTTGATGAAGAACGATTTGGATTTGACTTCAGTACTTTTCAAAATCCTATATTATTCTTATTTTATCGACGACAAATTAATCAGCATGTTAGTAGGCGAATCTAATAAACATGGAAAAAGGAAAAAAAAACTGGCAGGATTTCGATACAAGCTCTTCCTGGCTCTGTATCGTGACTACTGGAGTAGCAGGCCTGGATTAGGAGGATTTTCCCACATGTCCCACATTATGTCAAGAGCAAAATTTGAATCTATTCTTCGAAACCTGCGTTTTTGTGATAATGAACTGGATCCTGCGGGAGATCGGCTTTATAAGATTAGAGCTATTATGGAACATTTCAATGCAAAACCAGAGACTGCATTGATTCCGGGTAAATATAAAACATCTTCTTTGCCCACGTAATTTGTAGATCTGCTACAATTGGAATATACATGCAATGCTGAAAAACAGCAAAAAAAACCAATTAATTGAATGAAAATAGCTCAATTAGCGCTGCAGCGAATAATCGCTGCAGCGGTCCGTTCCTGAGTTTTTGCTGCAGAGATTATTCGCTGCAGAAGTTTCGAATGGGTTAATAGCTTAGCACTGACAAACTATTTTTTTTAATTTAAAACCTTTTCAAAAATTTCATTTCCAAAAAGTCGTTGTGCACTCCAGTTTGGCCAATTTTTCCAAAAAAAATTAGATTCTTTGAGAAAATCGCGAAAATTTCAGCGTCAAAAAATCGCATGACGTCACTTTGGATGAAGAGATTCGAAATCTCGTTTTCTCGACTAACTAAGCCTCCCATTTCCCATCCTGTATCCCAGAACACTCAAAAAAATAGAAACATTCTCATATCATATCCAATTTTTGTCATTTTCCCCTCCCCGCTTCTTTTCCTCAATATCCATCATTTGTCAACTCTCGAGAGAGCCATTTAAGCGCCTTTCCACGGCTTTGACGTCACCTTTTTTTTGCAAATAGCGTTCATAAAATCCCTTTCCCCATAATGGTGACATAAACATTTATATCAGTTTTTGTTTTTCTCGAAAAGTCGAAAATCGAAAGTGGTGCATCGAGAAAGTTGTTGCTCAAGTTTTAGCGAAAATTTCCAAAACAATCCACTAGAAATTCGGCTTTTTCTCAAATCCTGGATGTCACTGGAGAAATTGGCGACATTTTTAAAGTCAATGGATGAATTTGAAAAATTAGAAATCTCAGTGTTGAGGCTTAATTTCAAAAAAATTTTCAAATTTCGAAATTTCAAAATTTTCGTCTTTCCCCTTTCCCCGTGCCCTCCATAACTGACTAAAAGAGGTCGATTTTTGCTCAGAGATTCTCCATTTCAGAAAAACTGGCCCCCAAGCTCAACGACTGCAAATCCCATTACCCTCACTGCGTCACAGTGCTCTTCCGTAAAGCAGTAATGCACAAAATCGGTAATCGGCTAATTTCCCGCCCGGTAGCTTTGCGCTTTGACTCCGAAAAAGCACTTTTCATTATCAGAAAATGCGAATTTTAGGCGGGTTTTATGCATTTTAAGAAATTTCTAAGGGAAAAGTGCCGAAGTCAGGAATTTTTTTTATTTTGTTTTTTTCGAGAAAAATTCTGACTAGAAACCAGCAGTGACATCCAGTTTTGAGAGAAATCAAGAAATTAACCCAATAGCTGGCTTGGGCGTCGAGAAAAGTCGGCAAAATCTGGCGAAACCAGCCGGCCCGATTTTTCGCTTTGAGCTTTTCGAGAAAATTTCTGACTAGAAACCAGCAGTGACATCCAGTTTTGAGAAAAATCAAGAATTTAACCCAATAGCTGGCTTAGGCGTCGAGAAAAGTTGGCAAAATCTTGCGAAACCACTACTAAATTTACGAAATCGCCTAAAAATAGAATTCTCATGCAAATTTCTGAAACCGTCCAGTAACGTGACATCCAGATAGCCCATTTTTATGCAAATTTCCCGTTTTTAACTTGATTTTTTGTTTCCTAGGCTATTCGACTCATTAAACTTCTGGTTTTCTGAATTCATTCACTGAAAAGAGAAAAGTCTCTGGAATTCTGGATGTCACCGAATAGATTTAACCGGGTTTCGTTGCGTTTTGCCAAGTTTTTCCTCACCTTCAACGAAGCTTCGATTCTCGAATGGATCGTCTTCAAGGGCTTCGATCTGAAAAATGAAAAAAACAATTGTATATAGATATTTGAATTTTGTGCATTACTGGGAAATGCTTGCTTACGAGCTTGCTTACGAGCTTGCTGGGAAATGCTTGCTTCACTATTTTCATTATTTTCACAATTCACAACACTGAACTTACGTCGGCATCGATTTTCGATCGACGCGTGCGATGCTTAAGCAAAAATTTCGAATTTTTAAGACAAAATTGATAGTTTTAAGTCGAAAATTCGTAATTCTGGAACGCATTTTGCGTATTCCGATTAAAATTTCGCGTTTTAGACAGTTTTTACGGAAGGCACTTTTCGGCGTAAACGAACGAGAACGTAAACTTCTGGTTTTCTGAATTAATTCACTGAAAAGACAAAAGTCTCTGGAATTCTGGATGTCACCGAATAGATTTAACCGGGTTTCGTTGCGTTTTGCCAAGTTTTTAGCAATCACCTCAACGTCGGGACTCTGCATGAGCTCATGGGTGGTCGACCACGCGAAAAGCGTTAACGAGGTGACGAAAAAGCAAACCCGGTGCCGCATCGTTGGCTGGAAAGTGATGGGTTTGAGTTTAACATGGGAATAAAACAGAAAAACTATTGGGACCAATGAAACGGCCAGCTCAAGCCAGCCCTCAAGCTGATGATCAAGCCAGCCCTCAAGCTAGCGCTCAAGCCAGCTCAAGCCAGCGCTCAAGCCAGCTCAAGCCAGCTCAAGCCAGCGCTCAAGCCAGCTCAAGCCAGCTCAAGCCAGCGCTCAAGCCAGCTCAAGCCAGCTCAAGCCAGCTCAAGCCAGCGCTCAAGCCAGCTCAAGCCAGCTCAAGCCAGCTCAAGCCAGCTCAAGCCAGCTCAAGCCAGCTCAAGCCAGCCAGCTCAAGCCAGCTCAAGCCAGCTCAAGCCAGCTCAAGCCAGCGCTCAAGCCAGCTCAAGCCAGCGCTCAAGCCAGCTCAAGCCAGCTCAAGCCAGCGCTCAAGCCAGCTCAAGCCAGCGCTCAAGCCAGCTCAAGCCAGCGCTCAAGCCAGCTCAAGCCAGCGCTCAAGCCAGCTCAAGCCAGCGCTCAAGCCAGCTCAAGCCAGCTCAAGCCAGCTCAAGCCAGCTCAAGCCAGCTCAAGCCAGCTCAAGCCAGCTCAAGCCAGCTCAAGCCAGCTCAAGCCAGCTCAAGCCAGCTCAAGCCAGCTCAAGCCAGCTCAAGCCAGCTCAAGCCAGCGCTCAAGCTGACGCTGATGCGTAAAAATGAGTAAATACGTGAAAAGATTTAAAAGAGAGTAGCTCACTCATGACTTTTTACAATTTCTTGTCAAAGAGTCGACTCAAAACCAAAGCAAGAAAAGTGAGAGAAGAATTTCTTGGTGTTCAACCATGTGGAGTTGGCAGGTGTGTTTGAGATTTGGATTTTAGTGCTTTTTTTTCCAAGTTCGATTTGGAATCATCAAAAATCAGCAAAATTCTTTCAAAATACGCGGATTCTTTCAAAATCCCCTGAAACTATGCAAGAGCTAAATCTTTTAGATATGTAGAGAGTTTGGTAGGGAAGAGGTAGAGTTCTCTAGTTGATCAAGGGCTTTTCCTTGATCAACTAGAGAACTTTGGCATCAAAGTCTCCGTTTTGAATCGAGAGGAAAAGTTGATTGAGGAGGAGACAAAGGTTGGCAAATGCTGTGAATGGTAATTGATGTTGTTCTTGTTCTTGAGGACGAATATAATACCCATATCTCATTCATTCTATTTTTAAACTTTTCCAACTTTCTTCGACAATCTTTGATTCAAAATTGATTCCAAATTGAATCCAAATTAATTCCAAATTATGAATTGATTCAAAATTGATTCCAAATTATGAATTGATTCAAATTGATTCCAAATTATAAATCTTCTACTCAAAAAGAAAGCTCACTGAAATTTTATGCCTTTTTCTAGTGAAAATTTTTAGATTGAAATTGTGTAAGAATGAAATAAAGGCATTTTTAGACAGTTTTTAGATTACAGTAACCAACCAAAAAAAGATTACTGTAACTTTTTGACAATAAAAGACAATAAAAGACAATAAAAGATAATAAAAGGCAGCAAAAGCCAATAAAAGACAATAAAAGACAATAAAAAACAATAAAAACCAATAAAAAACAATAAAAGACAATAAAAGACAATTAAGTAAGCAAGGAACCGTATCTGAACCATATTGGAACCATATTGAAACCATATTGGAACCTTAAAAGGAACCGTTTTGGAACCTTAAAAAGAACCGTATTGGAACCGTATTGGAACCGTATTGGAACCTTAAAAGGAACCAATTGGAACCGTATTGGAACCTTAAAAGGAACCATATTGGAACCTTAAAAAGAACGGTATTGGAACCGTATTGGAACCTTAAAAAGAACCGTATTGAAACCATATTGAAACCATATTAAAACCATATTAAAACCATATTAAAACCATATTGAAACCATATTGAAACCGTATCTGAACCATATTGGAACCAAAGTAACCACCGTTTAGTGCTCTGAGATTGTCAGATTGAAGAAAAAGGTCGGTGAAAAGATTGGAGACCAAGCGCTGGGTGGAGGGGACTATTAGTGAAATGTCCCTTGGGTTGTTCGATGGGTAAAGAAGCCGAGAGTCGAGGGGGGAAAGCTGAGGCTGCGATAAAGAAATCTCTTTTCCACTTTTCGGGGAAAAGCTGAGAAATGAAATTGCCTAGGAGAATTATGACCCCCGAAGCTAGAGCCAGCTCCTACATCTTTCACTTTCCAATGATCAAGCAATGACCGACACCTGTGAACTCTGCAGGCAGGCATAGACATGAAAATAGACAGCTTGTCTACTGGATTTGAGCAACAATTGAATCAGAAATTGATTGACCTTGGTTTCGCTCAAAACAACGATTTTTTCGCTCAACGAGACCAGAAATTCGACCAATTTGCATTGAGAAAGTTGTTGCTCAATTTTTAACGGAAATTTTCAAAACAATCGACTGGAAATTCGACTTTTTCTCAAATCCTGGATGTCACTGGAGAAATTGGCGACATTTTTAAAGTCAATGGATGAATTTGAAAAATTAGAAATCTCAGTGTTGAGTCTGGCATTGTTATCAAGATTGATTATGAAGATCAACCGGCACTCAAACTTAACTGGTGCTCAAGCTGGAGCTCATGCTAGCGCTCAAGCTGGCGCTCATGCTAACGTTCAAGCTGGCGTTCAAGCTGGCGCTCAAGCTGGAGCTCATGCTAACGCTCAAGCTGGCGTTCAAGCTGGCGTTCAAGCTGGAGCTCATACTAACGCTCATGCTGACGCTCATGTTGGCGTTCAAGCTGGCGTTCAAGCTGGAGCTCATGCTAACGTTCAAGCTGGCGTTCAAGCTGGCGCTCAAGCTGGAGCTCATGCTAACGCTCAAGCTGATGGTCAAGCTGACGCTCAAGCTGAAGCACAATTGGAACAGCCATTGATTGAGAATGGGAGATAATTTTGGTCAAAACAAAGATCGCCACAGTCTGCCATTCAGAGATTGACTCTAACTAGAAGCCAGGTAGCCAGGCTGGCTATTGTCAGATTGCCAGATTGCCAGAGCTATTTCTAACCTATCTCAGGTCTGATTAGCTTCAAAACCTTCAGTTCCAAGCTACTGGATAACCAATAGATGCTTTGCGGACCAGAGTCAGCCCAGGTGGCCCAGACGTGGCCCAGTCATGGCCCAGACGGCCAGATTGGCTAGACGCTTTCAAAATTAACTTTTCAAGACAGGACGAGTCTGGAACTGGCTCAGAACAATCGGCTTGCGTACCAGCATGCATTTAATCCCTTTAAAACAATTCAAGGTGTTAGTGAGCGAAAACTCTTGAATGCTATCCAGATCGGCTCTCACAGCAGCTTGCAACTCGAGCTCGGCTCGCTACGGCCACAAATTGGGTCTTAAATTCTTCACTGTGCTCGAGATCAGCCGCTTGTGTAGAGTCTAGCTCTCTGTAGCCACAAATTGACCCAAAACCCTTGCCATTTCCAAATCACGATCCCATCTCTTCTCCCTTCTCCTCCACCGCCCCGTTATGACCCACAAAAAGCGGGCATAAACTTTAACTACTTTCCATTAATCATTTCGTGGCCGAGGGCAATTTGTGCGGGTTTTTTTGCATGAAAACTTTATTGGCGATCGTTATTTTGATCAAATTAGATTTGATAAGGTTTTTGTGAAGGCGGGAAACCTCAGACTTTCGAAAAAACTGGAAAGCTCAATGTGTTTTCGGTGTGTTGGGAAAGACTTCTTCTAAACTTCCGTCAGTTTTGTACTACTAGCTAGAGCCAGCTAGAGCCAGCTAGAGATCAGCTAGAGGTCAGCTAGAGCCCAGCTAGAGGCCAGCTAGAACCAGCTAGAGGTCAGCTAGAGGATAGCTAGAGCCAGCTAGAGGCCAGCTAGAGGCCAGCTAGAGGCCAGCTAGAGCCAGCTAGATGTCCAGCTAGAGGATAGCTAGAGCCAGCTAGAGGCCAGCTAGAGACCAGCTAGAGGCCAGCTAGAGCCAGCTAGATGTCAGCTAGAGGATAGCTAGAGCCAGCTAGAGGCCAGCTAGGGACCAGCTAGAGGCCAGCTAGAGCCAGCTAGATGTCAGCTAGAGGATAGCTAGAGCCAGCTAGAGCCCAGCTAGAGCCCAGCTAGAGCCAGCTAGAGGACAGCTAGAGCCCAGCTAGAGGTCGCCAGCTAGAGGACAGCTAGAGCCAGCTAGAGGTCAGCTAGAGGCCAGCTAGAGGCCAGCCAAAACCAGCTAGAGGCCAGCCAAAACCAGCTAGAGGCCAGCTAGAACCAGCTAGAGCTCAGCTAGAAGCCAGTTAGAGCCAGCTAGAGTCCAGCTAGAGTTCAGTTAGAGCCCAGCTAGAGGCCAGCGAAAACCAGCTAGAGCCAGCTAGAGGACAGCTAGCTTCTTACTTCTTTAGTCTTAACGTTTACTTCTTAACGGGCTTCTTTAGTTGCCTTGTTGGCTGTTAGTTGACTCGAAAAGAACGGATTCCGGTAGCATTTCCTCTGAGCATTCTTTAGAAAAAGGATACAAACGGAAAAAAAAATGTGAGCCTCATTTGCCGGGATGACAAGTGTGAATGGGTGACTGGGAGAATGACTGGATTATTCCCCTTTTTCAACTCAAGGATCTCCCTTCCCCCGATCGCCTCTCTCACACACCATTCAGCCTCATTACTTGCCGATTTGCCGCAATAGATCACCGGGATTTCATGAGTTTTCACCACGCTCGCTGTATTGACTCATTTTTGTGACTCCTAGAGGTGTTGTTGGTGTTAGGGAAAAGTTTGGGGATTATTTGAGAGCTGAAAGATGTTAATTTTTAGTCTAAAAGTTGGATTTATCGTATTCTATTAGAATTGCGCCATTTAAATCATCATTTAAATCATTATTCTCATCTAATTCAACATTCGAGTTGATCCTTTACCCCGTTGATCGATCGATTGATCGATTGTTTGTTTCTCGAGTTCTTGCTGGCACAAATGCTGGCAATATTTTGACGATTTTGACGACGATTCACTCCGAATTTCATCGCAATTCGATCGCTTATTGAAAATCGATCGCTTTTCAGTTGCTGATCGCAATCGATTGCTTTGTCTAAACGTCGAAACATCGTCGCTTTTTCGCGGACGGACTTTTTCCTAACAAAACTCTAGGCTCATATAACTCCTAACAGAATAATGTTCAGCAAAAACGGAAAGCAGATTCGGAATCAGCGTAAAATTCTGCTTCAGATGTTATAGGTTACATGTCATTTGGCCGGCTCAGCCAGTTATAGCTCAGCCGGCTCAGCCAGTTATAGCTCAGCCGGCTCAGCCAGTTATAGCTCAGCCGGCTCAGCCAGTTATAGCTCAGCCGGCTCAGCCTCATGTGAATATAATGGTGTTTCTGTGAAATTCTAAAGGTATTCAAGGAAACAAAAGTGACTGGCTTTTCTTTTATTTATTTGTTCTGCTATTGTTCTGCTATCTGCATTTGAAAAAGTTTATAAAATACGGTAAGCAGATGAAGGCAAAAACGGTTGAATCGTGAAGTTCATTTAAAATACCGACTGGGGCTACCAGTGGTGAATTTATCGCATACACGAAATATATCAATCACAATACAACGATACACACAATACTAGGCTATATCTTAACTTAGCCCACGTCATGACAGACGGCTCCCTAACCCTAAGCTCAATGGGGAACTAAATAGCTTTTTTGGTGGTGAAGGGAAGATGACGATGAAGGAGTGGCTTGTCACTTTAAAGTGACTGGGGCCACAACCACCAGACTGCCCTCCAGAAAACCTCTCAACCCGAAGGGAAAGGAAATCCGAAGGGGGTGACCATGTCGCATGTGGGGTTCGAACCCTCGACCTTCCGATTAAGATAAAAGACACTTAACCAGTGAGCCACACGTGCTCCATTTTAGTTGATGTTTTGTTAGTTATAAATGTTATTATGTTATAAACGTTAATATGTTATAAATTTTATTTCACTCGTTGTGATTAGTTTGCTGATTTGCGTTTTGCATAAATAGTTTGAAATCAAGGGCTAATTTGAATTGAGCCATGTTCGTAGAAGCCGATTACAAATCGTGCACGGCTAGCAAAAAAATTTCATTCGTTTTTTTCTTGAAATCTTGAAAAGTTTTTTGAAAAAGTGAAACTATTTCTTGAAAAGTTTTTTCTTGAAATCCTAACTTCTGGAATACACAAAAGCTGTTAAAGTTGTTAAAAAACAGAAAATTTTACAATCTTTTCAAGTTTTCATTTATTAGAAAGCAAAATATTGCTAAAATTACTGAATTACTTTAATTAAATATTTAATTATCTTTTAATCTTTTAATTATTAGGTTGGCAACTTAATAATGACGCGTCACTACTTAACATGTTTTTTGTAATTTCAAGCACCGTTTCTTCCCTCTTTTTTTGCATATATACAAAGTAAAAGATGTCTGCATAAATAACATTTAGTGCTCCGAATTTCATCATTCGCTTTTTGGCAAAAAATGGAGGACAAAAAATTCCGTATTCGAGCTGTATTGTTCTACGATTTTTAACAAGGAAAATCACCAGCTGAATCTCATCGCACGATCATCACTGTTTTTGGAGAGAAAAGTATAAACATTGGGCAATGTCAACGATGGTTTCAAAGATTCCAAGGCGGCGATGAAAGCCTCGTAGACGAGCCACACCAAGGACATCCTCCAGCAAGGCCAAAAGTTATTGGTGATCTTTTCTACCATATTTTGCGCTTTTTGATTGATTATTTGTTAGAATAAACTTTTATATTTTTTTAAACGCATATCTTCCTAGTTACAAAAAGTTATCTAAATATAAAGTAGATGGTTGGTCTTAAGGCCGTTTTCGGTACCGAAGACTTTCGGCATCAAAGGTTTATCTTAAGGAGCTCGTTATACAGCAGACATGTTTACTCAAATTCGGTAATATTTTTCAATTTTCAGATTATCTACATCTTGTGTTGCTTCAAAATGGCTGTGTATAAACAACTCTTCTCGGCTCCACTGGTATGTCGATCAACGACTCAACGTGATGCGGAGTTTCTGGTCGTTGATTACGACAGAAAGGGAGCTGGAACCCAGCCGGTGAGTATGTTTACATTCTTTTTTTAAAGATAATAATGAGAAATTCAAATTGTTTGCTAAGTTCTGTTCAAGATATCCTAGATTTTATCAACCTAGGGGATTCTTCTAAACATATGGAATTTAAATAAGCGATTAAATGTGTAATTTGTTGACTTTTTCTATCTTGTACTATCTGAGACCTATAATTTTTCATTTACAGTATATGAAATTTGGAAAAAACGATCGAAGCCCGCAGCTTGTAAAGATTACGAATACGCATGCAAGCGAGGCTATGTGTGTTCAAGTATGTTAAAATTTTAAAACCTATTTATTTAGAAATCTAATGATTTCTATTTCTTTTTCAGATTTTTCCTCCGCTTCCAAAGATAGCCTGGGATAAGCCTTTCAACAACCTCTGGATGACGATGGAAAATGATTGGCGTCTTGAAATCGATGGTGAAGTTGTGCCTTGGAGGTAAGAATTTGAATAGATCCTAAGTATTAGGTTAATGCAAAAGTTTTTTCATGTTTTTCGTCTGCCGTTTCAAACCAACAAATGCACCAATTAACCTACGTTTGATTTCATTAGAAAAATTCATTATTTATCTACAAAATAACATTAAAACGGGTTTAAAAAAATTTTATGTTTGGATTTTCTTGAGAGTATGAAGTCGGGTAACCAAAAAGGGCTAACTCGATGATACCGTTTAAATATCTTAGCTAAAAAAAACCTATCTTCGTGTTAATAGATAAAAGATAGCGAAAAAAAAGTTTGATATTTCGTCAACATTTGCGAGAAATTCATTCAGCCAATTCTTTCGTAGAGTTTTTTATAGATTTTTACGAAAAAGGCGTTTTTCACACTCAAATTTGCTTGAAAGTGAACCGAAATTGATTTAAAAAGATCGAGATGGAATAAAAAAAGACTTTTTTTATAAAGCAAACTATAAATTAATTGGTGAATTTGTTACTTTTTTAGAGGAGTACGAAGAAAATGAAAACCATTTCTGCATCAACCTAATAGATGTGTACCTAAATGCTAAGTAGATAGACACTTAAATAGTAATTTTATTATTCTTGACAATTGTAAATAGAGTTACATTTTAAGTATTGACCAAGTAATATTCTAATTATAAAAAGTATTTAAATGATCATTACACTATTTTATTAAGTTTTACGACTTTACTATACATTCTTATCGTTCCAGACTTCGAACAGGCATTAAAGAGCCACGTTTCAAGATGCTAGTCTTGGACGCCGGAGTGACAAAGGAAATACAAGTGGTGGCAAAAACCGGTAGGTGTATGTTGCTAGAATTGTACGAATTTTAACTTTTAGTTGAACCAGGACCTTATGGTTTGACGATTGTTTCGTGGTGTAAAGGCCAGACAGTTGCCGACGAAGCGTGCGTTTCTATGCAGAAATATGGAACACCGTTTCGTCGAGGCGTTAACGGCATCACATCACTGAATAATGATGGTAGGATCTTTTATTTTGAAGAACTTTAAGAAATACTTTTTATCTCTATAATTTCAGCTAAATTCTTCGCAGAGTTTTGCGAACAATGTGTCAACGTGACCGATGCCGCGCTTCAATTGGAATCAGGTATCGGTGAGATATCGGTAACACCTCGCGAACAGCACATCTTCGCGGTGCTCGATGGAGTAGTCGAGGCGGTGTCACGCTCGCCATCACCAGGATTGTCGACGCCATTGACGGTTTTAACCCCAATCACTTTCACCAACACGAAAAGCTCTACTCCATCTCCAAAACAAAAGCAAGGTAAATGAATTTCGTTTCTTTTCTTGTTGTTATAAGAAATTCCAGTAAATTTTAATTGTAAATTTTTCCAGATCCGGTTTTGGTGCCACTTCCTGATTTAACAGCCGCTCAATTACAGGGCATCACCACTTCGACGTTTGGTGAGAGAGTTTTTCTGTTTTAAATTGTAAAATCTAATCTTGAAGTGTCACCCACCGTCTCACATATGGTCACCGCAACGCCAAATAAAGAAAACAGAAAAAGAAATCGCCGATCGGGCTTCTTGCTTCGAAGGGGTTGGCTCAAAGTGGCTGAGAAAGAAGACGACCACGCAATGCAACCTAGCACATCAAAGTTAGAGGTAAGGGAAACTAAAATTTTGAAAATCTTTTGAATTATTTCTTTTTCAGGATCACGATGTGGATTTGGAAGATAATTTTCTTGATTACAAGAAGCCGACCACCAACACTTTTCAATTACCTCCAGGTTCGTGATTTATCATTAAATGTGTAGCATTTTTTAGATTTATGTAAATTTAAGTATTTTTTTATCTCAGGATTTCGATAGCGCCTACAAACAACAACTATCTCAACAACCAACTGGCAACTGAGCAACAATGAATTTAATCTGTCAACAACAAATTATTTTCTTTTTTTTCGGTATTTTATGGACACCTTTTTGTCCATATTTTTGCGTTTTTAAAATTTTTGAATATTTTTGGATTCTTGGTGGGTGTTCACCCTTTGTAGTGACATCCATCAATGTTTTTGTTTTTATTTAGTTTTGAGTTTTTACAATAAATATTTTAACACTAATCAGAAACTGCTCGGTCAATTGAAACTTAAAATATGGAGCAGAAGCGGCTTTTAAGCTTTTAGGCCAGAAGAGGCTTTCAAGCCTGGAAAGCTTTGATTCCTGTGAGACTTTCAGACCTGAAAGTATTTGAAGCGTGAAAAGGATTCCAGTACTGAAAGATAGCTTAATCAATACAGTACTTACATATATATTCTCGTTTTTCTAATAATTGTACAATTATCAACGAATAAAGATTTTCAGGCTTAAAAGCTTTACAGTAATCAAGCTTTTCAGGCTTGAAAGCCTTACAGTAATTGTATAGTGAACCCTGTAGTACTCCAAGGTGTCAACAAGGTGACTTTGTTAACAAGGTAACTTTGTTGACAAGGTGACCTTGTTGACAAGGTAAGTCACCTTCATTTTCCCAGTTTTAACAATATATTAGGGCTGTTTTCTCAGCGTTTATCCCACCGGGATAGACGTTAATAAAAATACCTAAAAAATGAACGTTTATCGCAGTCGTTTTCAGTCCTGAAAGCCTTTCAGGTCTGAAAGCCTTACAGTAATCAAAGCCTTTTCAGTACTGCAAGCGTTTTCAGGCCTAAAAGCCTTTTCTTGATCAGGCGTCATCAGCGTCTATCCCACCGGAATAGACGTGTGTTTATAGACACAACAATGTTTACCCCCAACGCTTTCAGACCTGAAAGCCTCACAGTAATCAAAGCTTTTCAGTACTGAAAGCTTTCAGGCGTGAAAGCCTTAGAGTAATCAAAGTGTTTCAGTCCTGAGAGCCTTTTCAGTACTGAAAGCCTTTTCAGGCCTGAAAACGTTTTCAGGCCTGAAAGCCACCTTTTATATTCCACCTTTTATAAAGAAATTGCCCTTTAAAAGATTGGGGGTAACCTTTTTAAAGGTGATTTGATCCTTGTAAGGCTTTCAGGCCTGAAAAACTTTGATTACCGTAAGACTTTCAGTGCTGAAAAGGCTTTTAGTACTGAAAAGGAAAAGCTTACAGTTTACTGAACAAGTTATAGTTTTCTATAATACAATTTCATTACCTACATTTTAAAAGCAACCCCAAGTCGATCGGTCAATAGTAAGTGGAGATATGCGACAAAAGAGAATCTGAGTTGGACTACTCTTCTCTTTTGTCTCATATCTCCACTTACTATTGACCGATCGACTTGGGGTTGGTTTTAAAATGTAGGTAATGAAATTGTGTTATAGAAAACTATAACTTGTTCAGTAAACTGTAATATAACAACATAGTGAAATTTTCGGTCAAAGTTCACCTACTTGTCTGAAAAGGTCAATCCATTTAAAAGGTCTATAACTCAAGATCTAAATATTCAATCGACTTCTGCTTACTATCATTGGAATCTACGTTAAATTTCAGTCAAGAAATGTATAATTTGTTTTATAGACTTACCAATAAAATTATGGATTCTAATATCAAATTACCATGAAAAATGGACCAGTTTGCGTAATTAGTTAAAAAAAATCAGCTAATTAGACAGTAAAGAAAGTCTTTTAGATTTGAAAAGCTTTTTAGGCTTAAAAGGCTAAAACGACTTCAACTTTCTTTTCTTCATGTGCTTATCGCTACATTTACAAAACAAATTCTCTATTTCCTGACTTAAATTTCATGTAAATTCTAATAAACAAAACCAAAGGTTGATTCAGCTTTGAAATTTTGAGTTATAAACATTTTCAAAATATCCTCACTTTCAAATAAGTAGTGGAACTTTGACCACAGTTTTCTCTATGTTTTTATATGAAAGTATACTAAGTAAATTGTGGTTTTGCGTAACAAAATTTTGTCATACACATTTTAAAATTACTTTCAAGTTGATCCGTTAATTCGAAGTGAAGATATGGAGCAAAAGAAAAAAGTAGTCAAATTCCGCTTAAGAATAGTACATTTGTAAAGAAAAAAGATTACTTTTTGTGAGGCGACTCCTGGTTTTTTTGACAGATTTGAATTCTACATTCAAAACTACGTTTAGAGTTTGTAGTACTACAAACTTTTAAGTTTGCAGTACTGCAAAGTTTGCAAAGTCTGATAGCAGATGTGAAATTTGCAAAAAGAAAGCAAAACTTGAGAACAATTATATCGGTTTGAAGCCAATTACGTTTTCCGTTCCGTTCCGTTCGGCATTTTCTCCGTTTTCGTCATTTCAATCATCCATTACTCACTCCCAATCATACTGCCGAAAAAATGACTTTCAAGAATTTCCCTTCTTTACCGTCTCTATTGAAAAAGCAAATTATCGAAAAGTTAATGGTGTTCGACGCGCTTCAAATGCTGAAAGTGAATCACGATCTGCGCTCATTCGTCCTCATTACCGGGCCGATCCCAAAAAATGTCGACTCGGTGCTCCTTTCGTTGTCCAACCCGGTAATAAACGAAAAAAATGGTGAGATTGTGGCTGAAGCAATAGGGATCAGGATAACTCTACACCCTTCCTTTCGGCTGTATTTTGCGAGCGATGAGGAAGAAGTCGAGAAGCACAGATATTGGAAGGACTCTGCAGAAATGATTGTAGGAATAAAGCCCCAGCACGGGCGACTCTTTCGAAAGCTCACTTTTTTCGCCCATCTAGTTATAGATTGTCAGGATGAAGGGAAAATGAATCCTCGTCAGTTTGATTTCCTCAAGTTTTGGTCGCTCAAGTCGAGAAAACCCTTGCGAACCTTTGCCCTCACATTCAACAGTGATTCGAGTCTCGCTCGTTCACTTCTCTTGACGTGTAGTTCGATTCAAGTGAGCGAAGACGTATTCATCTTTTTTTTAAACAATCTTCATAATGATGCCCATCGTGAAATCTCGAGATTTATGGAGAATCATTGGGCACTCGGCAAAATCTGCTTCATGAATTTTCCCATTGCAATCATCAAGGAAAACGTTTCTTTTATGAAAGAAAATGTATCGTTCTTAGTTACTCTCGAGAATTGGGAGGATTTCATCGATTGTGTCAAAATCTTCGTGAAAAGCAATCGTTTCAATGAGAATAATGGAAATCAAATTCAAATCCATTTCTATGGGGGTGAAATAAGGAGAGGAGATCGAAGATACGAACAAATTACTCGCATCTTTCAAAATCACATACCACACGTTGAGAAGAGAGAATTTACCAACCAGGAAATACTTAGCTTTCATCGACCTCCATACATTTTTCGCTTTCAACTTAAATTCTTCTTAGATTGGTGTTCTTTTTTCAAAATCTTCCCTTGAAATCCTCAAGTTTACATTTTCTTATTGATTTTTGAACATTTTGAGATTTGTAACTTGGGTAAGGTGTGACTTTACTCTTTATATTGTAGTACTCATTTATTATAGAGTACTAGGGAGTATAGGATCTATCAAGTGTAATAATATGCTGTAATAATAAATGCTCTTTTCATGTTTGTTGACGAAAATTTATTCAAGATTTATTACTTAAACAAAAGATCAAAAGGTCGGGCGAAAAAGGCGAAATTCTTTGCCGTTGCGTCTAGGTGGAAGCATTGGGCAACTAGACGTTGCTGTCAAGGCATCACTGTGAAATTTTGGACGGGACGGGTGCCGTTTCTCTGGAAAGAAGAACACAGGAAATGAGAAAAATGGCCAGCACTATTTGCTAGAGACTATATGATACATTAGGCCTTATTGCTTTATGTATGAAATGTTTACATCACGCTTAGTGTATGCAAAACTCAAAAAACCAACCGGCAAATCGGTGCCAACTCGAAGCACCTTGACCTCGAGAACAAGTACCGATCCAAGCGGGGCTAAAGAAAACAAGTTATGTATTAGTTTTTATCGAATAACAAAACGAATCCGAAAGATTACCCCTGCAAATGAAGTCGAAAGTTTGCGTTTGGTTGATCCCCAGGGTGAAGGTGTAGCGGTCGCCGAGAAGGATTCCATTGTGAGCGGCAAAGTTCCAAATGTCAGTGGACACCAACTAAAGAAAAACTAAATCACGATCTCGGCAAACAAACAAACAAATAGAAGAGATAATCTTCAACAAACCAACCTCGATCGTAATAGGGCGATACGCATCAAGATTGATAATCTGCAGAGATTTGCGATCGTCAGTCCGGATCCAATTACGGTGAGTCTAAAACATCATTTGAATGACATAAAATAAACGTAACAAAAAACTCACGAAATCATTCCCAGTGAACACGACAAAACCGAGGGCAACGTCGACAAAGCCACGATCGTCAAGAGGTGCAGGGCGCTCGACGGAACTACCTCCCAATCCATTGTTCTAAACTTTAAAAAATTAAAAGAATAACGAAAGTAGAGACTTAAACACGAAATTATAAAAGTGTCCAAAAGAGGCTAACTCTATACTCATCTATATACCAAAAAATTCAAAAGTTATCAAAAGATAAGTTCTACTACTCTGAGAGAAAAACCCAGGAATAAATTTAAAAAACCCACTTGAGCGGCCATTTGAGCGAAGATGCAAGAAAAATGATCAGACAAAACATTATGAATTCTTTTATATGGGGCTTAAATGCAAATTTTTGAAATATGAATGCAAATTTTTTTCCTATTCAGGCCTGAAAGCCTTTTTAGGCCTGAAAAGGGTTACAGTACTGAAAAGGCTCTCAGTACTGAAAAGCCTTTCAGGCCTGAAACAACTTTCAATACTGAAAAGACTTTTAGTAATGAGTACAGTGTATGAGGATCATATTGAGTCCTCGCTTTTTCCACCATATCTTCACTTCCAGTTAACCGATCAACTTGTGGTTGTTCTTAAAATGTTCCTTATAAAATTTCCTATCAGAAATTGACAATCTCCTTAGCAACTTTACAATATAAACATAAAGGAAATCTCGGTCAAAGTTGGACTAAATTTCTACAAGGTTTACCGTCAAGATACGGTAAAAAGCCTAAGCAAACTTTAGGTTTTAAGTGCAAATTTGGATTCTACACAAGATTTGGACCTAGAAAAAGTACTTTATAAGATATTGAGTAAAGGTTTTCTTCCCTTTTAAGATGATCTTCATACACTGTACTAGGATCATATAAAATCGCGATTTTATATGATCCTAGTACAGTGTATGAGGATCATATTGAATCCTCTCTTTTTCCACCATATCTTCACTTCCAGTTAACCGATCAACTTGTGGTTGTTCTTAAAATGTTCCTTATAAAATTTCCTATCAGAAATTGACAATCTCCTTAGCAACTTTACAATAAAAACATAAAGGAAATCTCGGTCAAAGTTGGACTAAATTTCTACAAGGTTTACCGTCAAGATACGGTAAAAAGCCTAAACAAACTCTAGGTTTTAAGTGCAAATTTGGATTCCACACAAGATTTGGACCTAGAAAAAGTACTTTATAAGATATTGAGTAAAGGTTTTCTTCCCTTTTAAGATGATCTTCATACACTGTACTAGGATCACATAAAATGCCTTTTTTTTATGATCCTAGTACAGTGTATGAGGATCATATTGAGTCCTCGCTTTTTCCACCATATCTTCACTTCCAGTTAACCGATCAACTTGTGGTTGTTTTTAAAATGTTCCTTATAAAATTTCCTACTAAGGTGATATTTCCTTGACTAATATCGCATTGCGATTTTAGTCAAAATTTGACTGATTTCTTTGACTAATATCGTATGCGATTTTAGTCAAGATTTGACCGATTTCTTTGACTAATATCGCATTGCGATTTTAGTCAAGATATTCACGATTTCCTTGACTAATATCCTATGCGATTTTAGTCAAGATTTGACTGATTTCTTTGACTAATATCGTATTGCGATTTTAGTCAAGATATTCACGATTTCTTTGACTAATATCGTATGCGATCTTGCATCTTGCATCTTGCGATCGTAAGCATCTTAGGGGCAAGATGATCTTAGGGGCAAGATGCTCTTGGGGGCAAGATCATCTTGGACGTGTCTTATCGTATTTATCAAGTCTAACATTCTAACACTTGTATCCGTGTCTTAAAGTATTTACCAAGAAATTGCCCACCGAACAATAGAAAGTTTATAAATAGGAAGTTTAAATGCTATTTGTTAGTCGACTTTACACACGAAGACCGACTGCGCGATTTTTGTTCTCAAAATCGAAAAAATTAGAACAAAAATCGCGCGCTTGCCCATCGGGCAATCTCTTAATAATTTAACCCCTTTTATTAAGAAATTGCCCACCGGACAATTTCTTAATAATCTAGATGCTTTTATCAAGATTTTGAGTTATAGACCTTTTAGAAATATCCACACTTTTAAATAAGTAGTGCAACTTTGACTGAAGTTTTCTCTATGTTTTTATATGAAAGTATACTAAGTAAGTTGTGGTTTTGCATAACGAAATTTCATCAGACACATTTTAAAACTATATAAGTAAATATAAGATATACAAGTAAATATTTACAAGTAAATATAAGATATACAAGTAAATATTTACAAGTAAATATAAGATATACAAGCTATTAGTATCTATGCTTGTAAATATGCCGAGCTTGTATATATGCCGACCTTTTCTAAGCTTCGTACAATTGTTAGTACAATTGTTAAGTAAAAAAATGCTTTTTGTTAGTTAACCCTTGATCATTTGTTTTAAGTTAACGTTAAGCTTCGGGTTAATCCCTAAAGATCGATTCCACGAAGACTTTGCTCGGGGCAAGGTCATTGTAGATTCCTGAAAAGGTCTTCAGGCCTGAAAAGGCTTTCAGTACTTTGTATTTCTCAAACACAACCTCATGGGCTACGATATCAATTTAGGAGCGAAAGAAGAAATTTTTCGCCCTTCAATTTCTTCTTCGCTTCTGTCCAAAAGCTATTGGTGATCTTTTCTGCCATATTTTCCGCTTTTCGATTGATTCCTTGTTAGAATAGACTTTTATATCGTGTATATCGTTTTAAACGCATATCTTATTGGTTTTAAGCATTTCTCTGAATTTCGGTGTTTTTGTGCGTTTTTAAACTTTTTAAGACCATACCGTATCACATATCACTCAATAATCTAAAAGAATGGACTTGTCTGGTATTATATTTCACTAACAGCACTTATCCGTCCGGATAAGTGCTGACAAATGCACGGAATCTATCAGTCTGGATCCTTACGGATAAGTGCTGATTTTATTATTATATTTATTTATTATTATAATTTATCAAATCAAATAATAATAAAAATTTTAAGCTTTCACTGTCCCGACTAGAAACTAGATACTTATCTTTAAGTTTTTCCTTATTTTACATTTCCTTATTAAAATGTGCAAATGGTAATAAAATACAACTCAGAAAGATCGAAATCAAGAAGAAAACTTCAGAAAATATATAAAAGAAACAAGCCACTCGATTCAACGATTGATTTGATTTTCAAAGACACCAAAAATTTCAAGTTTATATCATAATAGACTTATAATACGGTAATCATTACATTGATATCGATATCAATAACATTGATCAATATCAATAAAATCGATCAAGACGATCATTACATTGATCAGTAACAATAAAATATCAATACCAATTTTACGAGTATGCAAAATTTTAGTCTCTATTTATTTTGTTAAAATTGAGTCACTTCAGCTGAAGAAATCTCTTAGTTTTTTCCCTGAAGCCAACTATAATTTTTTTGTTCAAAAGCTTTTTGAAATATTAGGTTGGCAACTTAATAATGACGCGTCACTACTTAACATGTTTTTTGTAATTTCAAGCACCGTTTCTTCCCTCTTTTTGCATATATACAAAGTAAAAGATGTCTACATAAATAACATTCAGTGCTCCAAATTTCATCATTTGCTTTTTGGCAAAAAATGGAGGACAAAAAATTCCGTATTTGAGCTGCATTGTTCTACGATTTTAAACAAGGAAAATCACCAGCTGAATCTCATCGCACGATCATCACTGTTTTTGGGGAGGAAAGTATAAACATTCGGCAATGTCAACGATGGTTTCAAAGATTCCAAGGCGGCGATGAAAGCCTCGTAGACGAGCCACACCAAGGACATCCTCCAGAAGTGGTCGACGATGACTTGCTCGCCTTAATTGAAGATTGCCCAACACTCACGGTTCGTGAGTTGGCAGAAATATTTTAAGTATCCCATACGACAATCGAAAACTATTTATACAAACTTGGGAAAAAGAATCGTATTGGAAAATGAGTTCCTCACGAATTGACCCAAAGCAACAAAATGGTCCGTGTCAATGTCGCCTCAATTTTGCTACAAAAATGTAAATCAAACGATTTTTTTTCACAGGGTTTTGACTTCTGACGAAACGTGGATCAACTACGAGAACGTTAAACGCAAAAATCAATGGCTATCTGCTGGGCAGACCCCTTAAACCACTCCCAAACCTGATATCCATGGGAAGAAGATAATGCTCTGTTGCTGGTGGAACTTCAAGGGATTGGTGCATTATGAAGTGCTGAAACCTGGCCAAATCGTCGATGCTGATCTTTATTCAAAGTAATTAATGAGAGTTAACGAGTCTTTGAAGAAATTGGGGCTCAAACCGGAGAGAGTCAGATTTTTACACGACAACGCAAAATCTCACACTGCAAAGATCACTTATAAGAAAATCGAGGAACTTGGCTGGAAAGTTTTGCCCCACGCGCCTTATTCACCTGATCTGGCTCCTTCAGATTACTTTTTGTTTCGGTCGCTGAAGCACTTTTTGGAGGGAGAAAAGTTCGATGATCATGCTCGGATCATAAAAGCAGTGAATGACTACTTCGCCTCAAAAACTCCCAAGTTCTTCGAGGATGGGATCCGGGATTTGCGCAGAAGATGGGAAGAAGTCATAGATACTAATGGAGAATACCTTTTGAATTGAAAGCTCTTCTTTTGTGTTTTTTAAAATAAATGATTTGTTACATAAACGCGTCATTATTAAGTTGCCAACCTAATAAATCTTTGCGCTTTGCTGAAAAGACAAAATTGAAATCGAAAAACAAAAATCTTAAAAAAATAAAGTAGATAACAATCTTAGATCCCATTTTCTACATTTTGCGGTCAATTCTCAACTAAAAGTGGTTCTTTTAGGGTATCTCAGCTGGCGAAATTGCCCTTGCAAAAGGAATTGATCAGATTTTGTGATTGGATGATTGATCGGCTTTGATAAAATCAAAGGATTGGATAGAAATTTGAATTTGAATTTGAAGGAAATGCTCATTTCAACGATTGCTGATTGACTTCCAAAGCTTGGCCTGGATCTGGCTGTTGACTTCCAAAGCTTGGCCTGGGCCTAGTTGTTGACTTCCAAAGCTTGGCCTGGATCTGGCTGTTGACTTCCAAAGCTTGGCCTGGGCCTAGTTGTTGACTTCCAAAGCTTGGCCTGGAACTGGCTGTAGACTTCCAAAGCTTGGCCTGGACCTGGCTGTTGGTTTCCAAAGCTTGGCCTGGATCTGGCTGTTGACTTCCAAAGCTTGGCCTGGGCCTAGTTGTTGACTTCCAAAGCTTGGCCTGGAACTGGCTGTTGGTTTCCATAGCTTGGCCTGGATCTAGCTCTTGACTTCCATAGCTTGGCCTGAACCTGGCTCTTTACAGATTTTATAAAGTAACGTAAATAGATCTTAGATCCCATTTTCTACATTTTGCGGTCAATTCTCAACTAAAAGTGGTTCTTTTAGGGTATCTCAGCCGACGAAATTGCCCTTGCAAAAGGGATTGATCAGATTTTGTGATTGGATGATTGATCGGCTTTGATAAAATCAAAGGATTGGATAGAAATTTGAAGGAAATGCTCATTTCAACGATTGCTGATCATTTAGTTTCGATTTTCTTTGTTATTTTTTTATTTTCAGTATCTACATTCAAGATGTGTCCACACGATGAGTCGATGAGCGAAGTGGATTGCCTATATTCTTGCAGCCATCATACGAAAACTGGCAAGACTCCAGAAGAGGTTTGTCAGTAATCTGGGAAAGGAATCTAGCCTTTTTACTCATTTAAGCAATACTTGACTCAACCAAGATTGTAAGATTGACATTTTGAGCCAAGATTGATCAAAAGCAAGGGCCAATCCTTGTTCAGTCGCTCTACAAAACGAAGATTTTCTCAAAAACCAAAAGAATTCAGTTTTTCCCTTAGATCTTTCAAATCTACGGACATTTTTTCACTAATTTCATGCGTTTCCGTAAAAGTTTAAAACTTCATTCGTTTCAAATAAGACTTTAAACGTGATTGCTGCAAAAATATCATTTGTCAAAAGTGTGCCCATTTTTGTTAACGAAGATAAGCTAGCATTTGCAATAATCAAGCCCAAAAAGCACGAATTTTTCTAAAAATTAACTCTATAAACGTATTAATACAGAAAAAGACAAAAAAAGACGGAAAAGGTCGGAAAAAGACAGAAAAAGACGGAAAAAGGCTTAGGCCCAGGCTTAGGCTTCGACTTAGGCGACCAGAAACCGGGTCCAGAACTGGCTTGGCTTTGGGTTTGTTCAGGACCTGGACTTGGCTGTTGACTTCCATAGCTTGACCTGGGTCTGGCTCTTGACTTCCATAGCTTGGCCTGGACCTGGCTCTTGACTTCCATAGCTTGGCCTGGATCTGGCTGTTGGCCTCCAAAGCCTGGCCTGGATCTGGCTGTTGGCCTCCAAAGCCTGGCCTGGATCTGGCTGTTGGCCTCCAAAGCCTGGCCTGGATCTGGCTGTTGGCCTCCAAAGCCTGGCCTGGATCTGGCTGTTGGCCTCCAAAGCCTGGCCTGGATCTGGCTGTGGGCCTCGATAGCCTGGACCTAGCTGGGGGCCTGGACCTAGCTCTTGACAAACTAATCGTCGGATTACTGGATCTAGCTGTAACACTGGATCTTTGTAACCTTGCTTTGCTCTCCCTGACATGACTTTCTTGTCTTTCTAACTCCTTGAAACACCTGCTTACAGCTTACAACTAATCACAGTGTTTTTCTGTCAGGTTATCGACAAATTTTTGACCACATTGGGCGAATACTTAAAGAAAAACGAAAGCAATTTTCCGATGGAGGAAATCGAATATGGAGAAGCGGCGAATCAAAAGGTTTTCTTAAAAAAAACTGTAATCAAAATCCATTCACTAGCTAGTTGCTAACAAATTCTAGCTAGTTGGCAATAATTTTTTTTTGACAAACTTCAACTTTCAGATTGATGTTTGGGGACGGGTCGACGAGAAAATCTTTGTCTACATTCACGGAGGATTTTGGATGGTAAACATTGTTAATTTTTGAGTTAAAACTAGATCAGCTTTCCCTGTGAAACGGTTTTAATGAAAATTTGGCTTTCAAAAAGGTTCTGGAGGCGCTAAAAAAAGGGAGAATTTCCTGAAATCTGTTTAAACTGTTTACCAGTTTTCACCGGTTTTCCAGGAAATTTTGCTAAATTTACTTTCCAGGAAGGAGACCGAAAATACGCTACATCGATGGTGGAAAGATTGGCGAAATTGGGGATCTCAGTGGCTTGTGTTGGCTACGAGTTTGCCACATCCAAGCACACACTCGATTTCCTTGTACAGGAGATTGTCATTGCTGTTCAGGTTCGCTTTAAAATGAGCTTATTTTCGCATTGTAGAGCTTCATAGCTTCATAGCTTCATAGCTTCATAGCTTCGTAGCTTCATAGCTTCGTAGCTTCATAGCTTCATAACTTCATAGCTTCATAACTTCATAGCTTCCTAGCTTCAAAGCTTCATACCTTCATAGCTTCATACCTTCATAGCTTCATAGCTTCATAGCTTCAGCTTCATAGCTTAATAGCTTCATAGCTTCATAGCTTCGTAGCTTCGTAGCTTCATAGCTTCATAGCTTCGTAGCTTCATAGCTTCATAGCTTCAAAGCTTCATAGCTTCATGGCTTCATAGCTCCATAGCTTCATAGCTTCATAGCTTCATACCTTCATAGCTTCAAAGCATATTGTCTATTTTAGTTTAAAGTTTAGAAACTCTTGCACACTTACCCGAAAAGCCGTTTCATCATTGGCGGACATTCGGCTGGAGCTCATTTGGCTTTTAAAGGTTTAAACTTTGGATTTAATGTGTATTGGTAGAGATAGAATAGGATCGTACTCGATTTTTAAGAGTTAAAGATTAGTTAAAAATTAGTTAAAGCCTAGTTCTAGCTTAGTTAAAGACTAGTTAAAGCCTAGTTAAAGCTTAGTCAAAGCTTAGTTAAAGCTTAGTTCTAGCTTAGTTAAAGCCTAGTTAAAGCCTAGTTAAAGCCTAGTTAGAGTCTAGTTAAAGCTTAGTTAAAGCCTAGTTCTAGCTTAGTTCTAGCTTAGCTAAAGCCTAGTTAAAGCCTAGTTTAAGCACTCGCATCAATCAAATTCGAGCCACGAATCGAGAAACTCGTTTTGTTTTGTGGAGTCTACGAACTCGAGGGATTGATAGAAACCTATGTGGCAAAAACGATTGGGTGAGTTGAAAGGAAGAAGAAGAAGAGCCAGAACTTGTTGAGCGACTGGATTCAACAAATATAAAGCTAGAAAAATTTCCACCGGAAAAAGTTCAGAGCTGGATAGCACAGAAGCATGACAAATGTTGAAAACTGTCTAAAAGTCGAGAATATGGAAAATAATTTGGATTGGTTGCTAGAGTTAGACCAGGACTCTTGCTTCTAGCTGTATCTAGGACAGTTTATCTAGCACTAGCAAATCCAAAGCACACTAGTGTATCAGGCATTAGTGCTCTAGCAAATCCAAAGCAAAATCCATCGCTAGTACTAAGTAGGCCAAGCCAGGAATCCTTTCAGCTTGACTCCATTGCTCGCCAAAGAATGCGAGTGTCGTGCTGAGGAGTTGAACGGATGGAAGGGAAGAATTCTGATGCTAGACGCTCTTCACGACTCACCGCCAATGCTAGAAGCGCAAAAAGTTGTTCACAGAAAGCTGAAGTCTCTTGGAATCGGCGTAAAAAGAGAGGTTTTGATTAAATTGATTTGATTTGATTAATGCGGTTAAATTCCCGAAATTTCCAGACATTTCCAGACATTTCCAGACACTTCCAGACATTTCCAGACATTTCCAGACATTTCCAGACATTTCCAGACATTTCTAGACATTTCTAGACATTCTCAGACACTTCCAGACATTTCCAGACATTTCCAGACACTTCCAGACATTTCCAGACATTTCTAGACATTTCTAGACATTTCCAGACATTTCCAGACATTTCCAGACACTTCCAGACATTTCCAGACATTCTCAGACATTCTCAGACACTTCCAGACACTTCCAGACATTTCCAGACATTTCTAGACATTTCCAGACATTTCCAGACATTTCCAGACACTTCCAGACATTTCCAGACATTTCCAGACATTTCCAGACATTTCCAGACATTTCTAGACATTTCTAGACATTTCCAGACATTTCCAGACATTTCCAGACACTTCCAGACATTTCCAGACATTCTCAGACATTCTCAGACACTTCCAGACACTTCCAGACATTTCCAGACATTTCTAGACATTTCCAGACATTTCCAGACATTTCCAGACACTTCCAGACATTTCCAGACATTTCCAGACATTTCCAGACATTTCCAGACATTTCCAGACATTTCCAGACATTTCCAGACCATCCCCGACTCGGATCACTTCTCGATCATCGAAAATCTCGGTACGTCAAGTTTAGAGGCGAAAATTTTCGAAGATTTCTGTGCGTAAATAAAATTTTTCCCAAATTTTACGATTTCATGCAAATATCTTTGATTAAAACACAAAATTTCAAGGTTAGAATTTGAATTTCAAAGCCATTTCAAAGCCATTTCAAAACCATTTCAAAGCCATTTCAAAGCCATTTCAAAGCCATTTCAAAACCATTTCAAAGCCAAAATCTCAAGGTCATTAACATTTCAATTTCTCTGAGAATTGCAGAACTTTGAATAGCTGATAGAGAGGATTAAATTAGGCATTCAAAAGGCTAAATTCAAGTCATTATTAGAAACCAATTTTTGTAAGAGAAATCCTTTTTGAAAACTAATTTTGTTTTTCGCTTTCGCGTCACCGAATATTATCAGTGAAACGGGACAGATTGGGAAAAAAAAACGCAAAAGAATCTTGAAGAAATCGAAGAAATCGAAGAAAAGAGAAGAAAAGAGAAGATAAGCCATTTGAAAATACAATTTTGGCACTTTGTATACAATCTCTTTTAGCTCAACAGTTTTCGGTTTTTCTTAAAAGCTTGAGCTCAAAATCTTGCTCTAACTTGGCTTCTGTTACCTTGTTTGACCTTTTGACCTCAATTGGTTTGATCTGAAATTTCTACAAGCTGGGACCCAGGAAACCCACCAAAATCCAGGAAATAGGCTAGCTGATTGGCCTCTGAACATTTGCTATTGGTTATTGGTTAGCTGATTGGTTAGCTGATTGGCTAGCTGATTGGATAGCTTATTGGCTGGCTTATTGGCTAGCTGATTGGCTAGCTGGTTGGCTACCTGGTTAGCTAGCTGGCTGGCTAGCTGATTAGCTAGCTGGTTAGCTAGCTGGTTAGCTAGCTGGTTAGTTGGCTGATTGGCTAGCTGGTGAGCTAGCTCATTGACTAGCTGATTGGATGGCTGGTTGGCTAGCTGGTTAGCTAGCTCATTGACTAGCTGGTTAGTTAGCTGATTGGCTAGCTGGTTAGCTAGCTCATTGACTAGCTGGTTAGTTAGCTGATTGGCTAGCTGGTTAGCTAGCTCATTGACTAGCTGATTGGATGGCTGGTTGGCTAGCTGGTTAGCTAGCTCATTGACTAGCTGGTTAGTTAGCTGATTGGCTAGCTGGTTAGCAGCCATTGACTAGCTGGTTAGTTAGCTGATTGGCTGCTGGTTAGCTAGCTCATTGCTAGCTGATTGGATGGCTGGTTGGCTAGCTGGTTAGCTAGCCGGTTAGTTAGCTGATTGGCTAGCTGATTGGCTAGCTGATTGGTTAGCTGATTGGATAGCTGATTAGCTAGCTGATTGGATAGCTTATTGGCTGGCTTATTGGCTGGCTTATTGGCTAGCTGGTTAGCTAGCTGGTTAGCTAGCTGGTTAGTTAGCTGATTGGCTAGCTGATTGGCTAACTGGTTAGCTAGCTGGTTAGTTAGCTGATTATCTATCTGATTGGCTATAAATGTTCGAAAAAGGTCTCCATGGCTGATCGACTCTTTCAAACAAATGATTTCCACTCTCATTTACAGAAGCAATGCTTTTCTCACTGCTTTTGCTTTGTTTCTCCATCAGTTTCACCTCCGGAGCCGTCTATCGTCAATCGCTGATCCGTCGTGTCTCTCCAATGACCCGAATGATCAATGCTGGCACTTGGGAAACGTTTCTCCGCGAAAGGGACTCCATTCGAACCACAATTCATAAGAATATGGGATATCCGCAAAAGGTTGCTAATGTTATTTGTTTGATTCGACCTTTCTAGTCCAATGGATTACATTCTTTTTCTAGAAAACGAGCTACTGCGCCAGATAGAGTTTGTTTGGATAAGTAGAAAGTACACTTTAAAGAAGAAATCATGATCTAATTAAGGTCTACGATTATCAAGACGAGGAATACTTGGGAAACATCACTGTCGGCACACCCGATCAACAATTCAGGGTAAGTAATGAGCCGTTTTCTAAAAATTATCAAAAACGACAGTATTTTTTACATTTAATTCCATCTACTTTTATTAATTTAAAGTTTTTGAGCTTTTTATTTTCTTTTTCTACAAATTCTAGCCTATAGAATCCTAAAGATCTTGAATTTTGGAAAATTTCTTTTAGAAAATTTTGGAAAGCTCGAATTTCTTTTTTAAAAATGTCAAGTATTATATAGGGAATTGTAGCTCGAATTCTCAGCAACATTTCTCTCCCAAAAACTTTTTGATTCGACTTATGCAAATCATTTTGACAATCGTTTGAATAAGCGCTAGTCTCTCTTTCATTTCACCACTTTTCTCTATCAAAAATTGTTTAGAGCTTTTTAAGAAAGAAACGCTTTTCTTTCATAAAAATTGTTTATTTAAAGCTTTTCAATGTTTTCAATGCAAAAAATTACGTTTAACATTACTTAATAAAATTAAGAATCACACTTTAACTGTTTTGAATGAACTGGGAAAATCAAAATCTTGGTTTAAAGCTTAGGCTTAGGCTTTTAGGTTTAGGCTCAGGCTTTGGCTCAGGCTTAGGCTCGGGCTTAGGCTTAGGCTCAGGCTTAAGCTTAGGCTTAGGTTTAGGCTTAGGCTTAGCCAGGCTCAGGCTTTGGCTCAGGCTTAGGCTTAGACTTAGGCTCAGGCTTAGGCTTAGGCTTAGGCTCAGGCTTAGACTTAGGCTCAGGCTTTGGCTTAGGCTTTTAGGTTTAGGCTTAGGCTTAGGCTCAGGCTCAGGCTTAGGCTTAGGCTTAGCCTCAAGCTGAGCCTCAAGCTTAGCCAGGCAAAAATAACGTTTAACATTACTTAATAACATTAAGAATCACATTTTAACTATTTTGAATGAACTGGGAGAGTCAAAATTTTGGTTTAAAGCTCAGGCTCAGGTTCAGGCTAAGGCTTAGGCTTAGGCTTAGGCTCAAGCTTAGGCTTAGGCTTAGGCTTAGACTTAGGCTTAGACTTAGGCTTAGGCTCAGGCTCAGGCTCAGGCTCAGGCTCAGGCTTAGTCTCAAGCTTAGCTAGGCAAAAATAACGCTTAGCATTACTTCATAACATTAAGAATCACAATTTAACTGTTTTGAATGAACTGGGAGAATCAAAATCTTAATTTAAAGCTGAGTAGGGAAAAAGGTGAAAATTCTGTCTTATTCTGTATCATTCTGTATTTAGATTTAAAATAAAGCTGAAAATGTTGGGTATTCGATGGCATCAAGATCTAGCTGGTGCATAGACTTGATTCAGAAGAAATGGGCTTGAGAAAGAAGTCTAATTCTCTAGGCCGTTCTCGATACAGGCTCCTCAAACTTGTGGGTGCCTGATGTGAGTTGCACTGGTGATGGATGCCAAGGGAAAGACGTTTTTGACTCCAACAAATCATCCACATACCAGGTTAGATCGCAAATTTTCGTCTGAACATGAAAGGAAAATGATTTCAGGCAAATGGAAAGAAGTGGACGATCGTTTACGGAACCGGCTACGCGTCGGGCTTTCTCGGAGTGGACACAGTGCGATTTGGAGCACCAGGCGAAAATCAGGTATGAGAAGAGGCCTCTAGACTAGCTTTTTGAGAGCTAGTGTGGCTTTAAAGAGATGAATGATTGCTTGTTAGTGATTGCTAATGATTAATTGAATAATTGCTAGTGATTGCTAATATTTACGCTTTCTTTTCCAGCTCATTGTCCCCACAACAACCTTTGGCCAGGCCACTCATTTGGCGAAATTCTTTGAGGGTGATCCGATCGACGGAATTCTTGGCCTGGCATTCACCGCAATTGCCGAGGGTTTTGTCGTCCCGCCTCTCATCAATGCCATCAACCAAGGTATGGGTTTGCCATTCGAAAGCTCTTCAAATTATCTATTTGGCCTTGCCTGGCCTTGCCTGGCCTTGCCTGGCCTTGCTTGGCCTTGCTTGGCCTTGCTTGGTCTTGTTCGGCCTTGCTTGGTCTTGCTTGGGCTTGCTTCGGCCTTGCCTGACCTTGTGCAGCCTTGGCCTCCTTGTCATTGGCCTCCTTGCCCTTGGTCTTGCTTGGCCTTGTTTGGCCTTACTTGGGCTTGTTTGGCCCTGCTTGGGCTTGTTTGGCCTTGCCTGGCCTTGCTTGGCCTTGCTTGACCTTGCTTGGCCTTGTTCAGCCTTGTTTAGCCTTGGCCTCCTTGTCATTGGCCTTGCTTGTCCTTGGCCTTGACCTCGTCCTTGCTTGGCCTTAGTCCTTGCTTCGTGGCCTTGCTTGGCCTTGGTCTTGCATGTCCTTGCGGTCAACTCCAAGGTTGTCCAAGTAAAAATGATTGCAGGTCTCTTGGATCAACCACTTTTCACTGTTTACCTCATGCACGACGGTGCCCAAGATGGAGCGTACGGAGGAGGTGAGAGATGAGCTTACTTTTATTCAAAAATCCTTTATAATCCAGTGTACACCTACGGGGCGCTGGACACGGACAATTGCGGAGATATCATCGCCTATCAACCACTCTCAGCGGCCACTTATTTCCAATTCAAGGTTGCGTTTGAATTCCGTTTGAATTTGGATCTTTCTTTTTGGCCTGGCGTTTTTCGAAGATAATTCCTTCAGATTCTTGGCTTGGATCCTTGTCAAAACCGGCGTGATTTCATTTGATTTATAATAGACATAAGCACTATAAACTACAAACGCAAACTCTAAACGCTTCTAACTTGGTTTAAATCTGTTTGATTGAGATGTTCTTTAGCTCAAAAGATAGCCAATTTTAAGAGCTTTCTAATGAACTAAAGCCTATTGAAAAATAAGAATTTAAAAGAAAGATACAATGGTTTATAGTCCTGATGCTACAAACCATTGTATCTTTCTTTAAATTCTTATTTTTCAATAGGCTTTAGTTCATTCAAAAACTCTTGAAATTCTCTATCTTTTGAGCTAAAGATCATCTCAATCCAGCAGATTCTAACCAGACATGGGCACTATAAACTACAAACGTAAACTACAAACGCTTCTAACTTTCTTCAAATCTATTTGATTGAGGTGTTCTATAGCTCAAAAAAATAGCCAATTTTAAGAGCTTTCTAATGAACTAAAGCCTATTGACAAAGATGGTTTCTAAAGAAAGTTACAGTCGTTTGTAGCCTTCGACTACGCGTCAGAACGATAAACCACTGTAACTTTCTTTAGAAATCATATTTTTCAATGTACTTTAGTTCATTCGAAAGCTCTTGAAATTGGCTATTTTTTTGAGCTAAAGATCATGCAAATTTGATAGATTTGAAGGAAGTTAGAAGCGTTTAGAGTTTACTTTTGTAGTTTATAGTGCCCATGTCTAGTTAGAATCTGTCGGATTGAGATGATCTTTAGCTCAAAAGATAGAGCATTTCAAGAGCTTTCGAATGAACTAAAGCCTATTGAAAAATATAAATTTTAAAGAAAGTTACAGTGGTTTGTAGCGTCAGGACTATAACCCACTGTAACTTTCTTTTAAAATCTTATTTTTCAATAGACTTTAGTTCATTCGAAAGCTCTTGAAATTGGCTATTTTTTTGTGCTATAGATCATCTCAACAGATTTAAACCAAGTTAGAAGCGTTTAGAGTTTGCGTTTGTAATTTATAGTGTAATTTGTAGGCTTCAGGGTCTAGCCTGACCTGGAATACCGCTATCAGTGTACAAAAATCTACTTTAGATGGAGGCCGTTTCATCCGGCAACTATTCGAATAAGAACGGCTGGCAGGTGATCTCCGACACGGGCACTTCATTCATTGGTGAGTTGAGTAGGGGAAAATGGCTAGCTTTTTGCTCTAAAGCTTGTCCAAATCGTAAACAAACAGATCTTGATCAGCTTTGAATGCCTTGAATGCCTTGAATGCCTTGAATGCCTTGAATTAACAAATCCAACTCCAGGAGCTCCACCAGCGATCGCCGACTCAATCGCCAAGGCTCACGGTGCGACTTTTGACGCGAAAGACGAGGTCTACATCATCGATTGCAATGCAACGGTGAGGAAATAAGGAAAGTATTTGAAAACATTGTGACTTTTCTTCAGATTTCGGTGACATTCACGATTGGCGGTCGGGATTATGAAATCGAGTCGAAAAACATGATTGTTCCCGGAGACAACAACAATTGCTGGCTGGCACTCTTCCCTTTTCCAAATTGTATTGTTTTTACTCGAAAATTTTGTATTCTTACCTAGAAATCTTATCTTGAGCCAAATCATGTTGTAGTACAAAAAGCCTAAGTTACAGTTGTATGAGCTTGAGCCTAAGCTTCAGGCTAAGCTTGAGGCTGCTTGAGGTTAAGCTTGAGGAGCTGGAGCCTAAGCTTGAGGCTGCTTGAGGCTAAGCTTGAGCCTAAGCTGGAGCCTAAGCTGGAGGCTAAGCTGAAGGCTAAGCTTGAGCCTAAGCTGGAGGCTAAGCTTGAGCCTAAGCTTGAGCCTAAGCTGGAGCCTAAGCTGGAGCCTAAGCTGGAGCCTAAGCTGGAGGCTAGGCTTAAGCCTGAGCCTGAGGAACTGGAGCTTAGGCTTAAGCCTAAGCTTGAGGAGCTGGAGCCTAGGCTTAAGCCTAAGCTTGAGGAGCTTGAGCCTAAGCTTCAGGCAAGCTTGAGGCTGCTTGAGGTTAAGCTTGAGGAGCTGGAGTCTAAGCTTGAGGCTGCTTGAGGCTAAGCTTGAGGCTGCTTGAGCCTAAGCTGGGCCTAAGCTGGAGGCTGCTGAGGCTAGCTTGAGCCTAAGCTGGAGGCAAGCTTGGCCTAAGCTTGAGCCTAAGCTGGAGCTAAGCTGGAGGCTAGGCTTAAGCCTGAGCCTGAGGAGCTGGGCGCTTAAGGCCTAAGCTTGAGGAGCTGGAGCCTAAGGCTTAAGCCTAAGCTTGAGGAGCTGGAGCCTAGGCTTAAGCCTAAGCTTGAGGAGCTGGAGCCTAGGCTTAAGCCTAAGCTTGAGGAGCTGGAGCCTAGGCTTAAGCCTAAGCTTGAGCCTAAGCTGGAGGCTAAGCTTGAGGCTAAGCCTGTGCATAGCTAAAGTTCATTGTTACTTTCAAGTGATAGGCAAAAAGAGACAAGATTACGATAGTTTTTGTTTCAGTCCCTCAATGGATCCTTGGTGATCCGTTCATCCGCCAATTCTGCAATGTTTACGATCTCGGAAAGCAAAGAATCGGTTTCGCTCCATCGAAACAATGAAAACCCTTTGTGATTTTGTAGTTTTTATTTTATTTTTAAAATTCAAATCCAAATTCAAATTCAAATTTCGCTTTAATCCATTCCCTCGTTTTTCCATTCAACTAAAGAACTTCATTTTGAAATTCTCCCTCTCGAACCAAAACAATTTTGTTTGAATCTCTTAAGCCTGACCATCGATTGACAGGCCTACCACCTCCGATCAACCCTTTTTCATCAACCAACATCAATGCAACAATTGAAAATATAAAAACAAAGATCTTCTGCTAATTTTAGCCCATTTGTGCAAAAAAATCATGCTCTTTGCTCAAAAGTGTTAGAAAAACGAAAGAAAACAATTTTTTTTGCGCTCAAGAAATGTACATGACAAGATATTCGATGACCCAAAATTGATAAAAATATAAATTTGCTGATTTCTCGATTTTCTTTGCTTAGAAGCACTTGCGGTGGACGATTGATGGGCCGGACTCGTCGTATTCGGCCTGAAATCGGATTTTGACGTTGAGCTTTTGAATTATGGATGTCACACAGTAATTTGGGGGTATTAGACTATGGGATATTCTATTTTCAGCACTGTGGATCCTATTCAATGCCCTAACTACAGTAACCCTCAAGCTATCTGGATTATTCTAGATGTAGGGCTTGTTATGGACGTCACAGAAACCACCGTACCTTCGAGATCCACATTTGTTGGAAGGTGGAAAGAGAGGCGAGAATCGAGCCACCGATCCAAACCGAATATTTCCTCTCTGGCGGGGCGATGATCTTGATCTTCATTGTGCTGAAAATAGGAATTTGGAAGAAATTTGAAATGGAATTGATTGCATGACTTCCAGAATGGATAAAAATGGGGGAAAGATGGTCTAGGCATTCGTGGATCCCCGTAAAACCGCCTCCGCCTCTCCCCAAGTCCCCCTCACTTTCAAGCTTTAACTGTGAACTCCTCAAAATTCATCTCAGAATGTTAAATGCACTCCAGATTGATCAACTATCACATTGACAAGTCCCTAACATCCCCAGATTCCTCTAAAACCTCATGAACCCTTTCCTCCTCTACCAACCTCGGAGCCAAAGCGGTGATCTCCTTTTGCATTCTGTCGGCGATTCCTGGATACATCGTCGTTCCACCAGACAAAACGTTGTTCGCGTACAAATCTTTTCTGATGTCAATATCGCATTTCATGATTGAGTTGTACACCGATTCGTGAACACCCGCCGATTCCATACCCAAGAAGGAGGGCTGAAATGGGAAAGTTCGATGAATGTCAAGAATGAGCCTGAGACTAAGTGCTGTGACATCCAGATCGCCCGAAAATTCACCTGGAACATGGCCTCGGGACAACGGAAACGCTCATTGCCCACGGTGATCACTTGTCCGTCGGGAAGTTCATACGATTTCTCCAAAGAGGACGACGAGGCGGCAGTGGCCTGGAAATTTGCATTGAATATTGATAAAGATATTCAGCCAAACCATTTCTTGCTCGAAATCCAATGCAACATAGCACAATTTCTCCTTGATGTCACGAACAATTTCACGTTCAGCGGTCGTTGTGAAGGAGTAGCCACGCTCAGTGAGGATCTGGAAGATGGCGAGAAAATGGGAATATTCTGTTGAGGGGATATAGAGTGATATCCAGGATAGACGATTATGGATAAAGATGGGTTTGGGTACCCTCAGAATCCCCTAAAATCTATTGGACGTCTTAAGACCCATCCCCACTTCACTAATATACCAGTAAGATTAAGATATTCAGTTAGGAAAATGAAATGTGACCTCCAGGATGAACGATTATCGATTTAAACTAGTTCGAGGACCTCCAGAATCTCCTTAAACCTATCGAACTATTTATCGACTCCCTTCTCACTTCACTAATATCCAATAAAGATTAAGATGTCCAGCTCTTAAACCCAAATGTACCACCCACCTTCATCAAATAATCGGTCAAATCTCGGCCAGCCAAATCGACACGGAGAATGGCGTGTGGAAGAGCGTAACCCTCATAAATGGGAACAGTATGGGTGACACCATCGCCCGAGTCGAGAACGATACCTGAAATTGGAATTGAATGGGTGAATTGTATTGGAAGAGTGACTGGGGACCAGCTAGCTTTAGTAAAGGCCTTTAGCTACCCCACCAGTGGTACGTCCGGAGGCATAAAGCGAGAGAACGGCTTGAATGGCGACATACATGGCTGGCGAGTTGAAGGTCTCGAACATGATCTGTAAATAGAAACAAAGTGTACTGTGACTGCCAGATCATTCAAAAACCTGGGTCATCTTTTCCCTGTTGGCCTTTGGGTTGAGTGGGGCCTCGGTCAAGAGTACTGGGTGTTCCTCAGGGGCCACACGGAGTTCATTGTAGAAAGTGTGATGCCAAATCTTTTCCATATCATCCCAATTGGTGACAATGCCTGTATCCGATTGAAATTCTTATCTTTTTCTTTAATTACCGTGTTCAATTGGGTACTTCAATGTGAGAATACCCCTCTTGGATTGAGCTTCATCTCCAACATACGAATCCTTTTGTCCCATTCCAACCATGACACCTTGATGACGAGGACGGCCAACAATTGAAGGGAAAACGGCACGCGGAGCATCATCTCCAGCAAAGCCAGCCTAGAAGCGAAGCTTGTTAGAAGCTAGAAGCTTGTTACTGTTGTCTAGAAGAGATTGAAGAGTACTGTAAGTCTATAAGTAAGTTCTAGACCAAATCAAGTCCTTAATTTACAATTCTAAGATAACAAAGCTCTTTCTGAATACCTTAAATTCTTCCTTTCTCTTTCTTTCTTCTCACCTTGCACATTCCGGATCCATTATCCACCACTAGAGCTGCCACTTCTTCGTCACACATTTTGTTGGCCTTTAGAAAGACTAAGGATTACCTGAAAGTCAAATATTGTGCAAAAGCTCAACAAGAAATGAAAAAGAAAGGATTCAGCTGAGAAATCAATGAGAAAAAGAAGTCTATTTTAGATTTTAAGCTTAATCGACTGGTCAATTTATCGTTGATCATCTCAATTTTGTTCCGATAAATGATAGAGAATGATACAAGGTAAATGGTTATTGTAAGGAAATGAAAAGAATATTGATAGGAAATCTATTGATAGGAAATCTGGCTGATTTAGAGTTGAGGTGGTGATTGGATTGCAGTTATTTATCTAATATAAAACAGATTCTAGCTTTAGGATTCAATTTACTCTACTCTAAAGGCTCTAGGGATTGTAGAGGCTACTCTAGAGGCTCTAGGGATTGTAGAGGCTACTCTAAAGGCTCTAGGGATTGTAGAGGCACCTAGGGCCTAGGGATGTAGAGGCACCAGAGGCCAGGGATTGTAGAGGCACCTAGAGGCCTAGGGATTGTAGAGGCACCTAGAGGCTCTAGGGATTGTAGAGGCCACCAGAGGCTCTAGGGATTGTAGAGGCTACTCTAGAGGCTCTAGGGATTGTAGAGGCTACTCTAGAGGCTCTAGGGATTGTAGAGGCTACTCTAAAGGCTCTAGGGATTGTAGAGGCTACTCTAAAGACTGTAGAGAGACTGTAGAGAGTCTAATTGCAGTTATTTATCTAATAGAAAACCCCATTCTAATTAATTCTAATTAATTAGATTCAATTTTAATTGTTTTTTTTAAAAATCCCTCATTTTCAGTAACACATTCTAGTTAAATATTCAATAAAGGTGAAAATTCGCAAAAAAAAGATTGAAAGTAACTTTAAACTTGAAAATGGTCTCTCCTTTGACCAAAGCTCTTTTATATGACCCATTGGAGATCGAAAAGATAGAAACAGAGAAGATAGAGATTGAAAGACAACAGAAAAGACAACAGAAAAGACAACCATTTTCTCTGCCACTCATCCATTTTTCCCGAATCTCTTTCCCAATCACTTTCTCTTCAATTCATCTAATCTCTTTGCTGAGACTTTTCTCGGAACTCCGCCCTGGCCTGAAATTTTTTAGAAAAATTCGATGATTCTTGAATTCTTGGATTTGTTCTCTTCTCTTTTCTTGGATTTGTCTTTTCTTTGTCTTTTTCAAGCCAACAACCGATGATCGATCTAAGCAATGGGAATTGCAATCAGTTAATTGCAATGAGAATTGCAATCAGTCAGTTATTCATTCCTAGTTCAGAATAAAGCCTTTGTTTCTAGTTCAGATCATTCCTAGTTCAGAATAAAACTTTAGAGGAATCTGGGGATGTTAGGGACTTGTCAATGTGATAGTTGATCAATCTGGAGCGCATGTAACATTCTGAAATCATTTCTGAGGAGTTCACAGTTAAAGCTTGAAAGTGAGGGGGAGTTAAGGAGAGGCGGAGACGGTTTTACGGGAATCCACGAATGCCTAGACCATCTTTCCCCCATTTTTATCCATTCTGGAAGTCATGCAATCAATTCCATGATAGAGAATGATACAAGGTACGGTAAATGGTTATTGTATGGAATTGTATGGAAATGAAAAGAAACAGTGAGTGATAGGAAAACCGATTGATCTAGAGTAAGCTGGTGAGTCGTTTGTCTAATAGAAAACAGATTCTAGCTTTAGGATTCAATTTACTCTACTCTAAAGGCTCTAGGGATTGTAGAGACTACTCTAAAGATTGTAGAGGCTACTCTAAAGACCGTAGAGGCTACTCTAAAGATTGTAGAGAGTTACTCTAAAGTTTGAGCCGGCTACCAGATACCTCTTGAACAGCTCTGAACTGAATTCGACGAATGAAGCGCTGTACAATGGGAGAAATGGACACTTTCAGCTGAAAACCTTTAGATTCAACAAATGACTTCCAAATCGTGCATTGAGGAAAAAAACTTGAACACGATTTTTCCTGAAACGATCGTTTGGCATTTCGGGTAAATAGATTGAGCTCTTTTGAGAGAATTTTTAGGGTTAAACTTTCTAGGGGAAATGGGTGAGTAAATGAAATGCTAAAATGAAAACTTCCAAATCTATCTCTTTTTTTGAGTTCTTTTCCGTCGTACATCTGCAAAATTTAGTCATTGAATAATCAAAAATCGATAAATTTTAATCAAAATCAAAAATAAACATCAAAATAATACAACACTCAACGAATGGAGAAAGTCGGCTTTATCCCACGCTCAAGTCAACCATAAGCTTCCTTGTGGTTGAATTGAGTGAATCCGGATGACCGTACCATTCACGCGCAGACGATCGAGCGACCCAGCGACCCAGCGCTTCCAGAAGTTCCAGATTCTCCACTCCACTGAATACCTTAATCTAGACTGAAGACGCTAATCTAGACTGAATACCGTAATCCAGCTCATCTTAACTGAATGCCTTAATCTAGACTGAATAGGGCAGGCCAGCTAATCTAGACTGAATATCCTAATTTAGACTGAATACCGTAATCCAGCTAAACTTAACTGAATGCCTTAATCTAGACTGAACGAAGGGAGAAAGTCGGCTTTATCCCACGCTCAAGTCAACCATAAGTTTCCTTGTGGTTGAATTGAGTGAATCCGGATGACCGTACCATTCACACGGACGATCGAGCGACCCAGCGCTCCCAGCGACCCAGCGCTCCCAGCGACCCAGCGCTCCCAGCGACCCAGCGCTCCCAGCGACCCAGCGCTCCCAGCGACCCAGCGCTCCCAGCGACCCAGCGCTCCCAGCGACCCAGCGCTCCCAGCGACCCAGCGCTCCCAGCGACCCAGCGCTCCCAGCGACCCAGCGCTCCCAGCGACCCAGCGCTCCCAGCGACCCAGCGCTCCCAGCGACCCAGCGCTCCCAGCGACCCAGCGCTCCCAGCGACCCAGCGCTCCCAGCGACCCAGCGCTCCCAGCGACCCAGCGCTCCCAGCGACCCAGCGCTCCCAGCGACCCAGCGCTCCCAGCGACCCAGCGCTCCCAGCGACCCAGCGCTCCCAGCGACCCAGCGCTCCCAGCGACCCAGCAGTTCCAGATTCTCCACTCGGCTCCAACATGGAAATAGATTTCTTTCTCATTTCAAAGAGAAACGCAAAAATTATCGCGTAAAACAAAAATAAAACAATAACAATTCAATAATAAAGAAAAACAATAAATTAAATTAATCTGAAAGAAACAAGACAACAAAAACTAAAAAATGATTTTTAAAAAATGAAAAAGCAACGACGACGCGACGCTCCCATCGACTACCTCCAAATGGCGGCGACGTCAATTGGAATGCTACGGCATCGATTCTTCATTTATTTTATTTATTTCTCATTCATTTATTTTTCATCTTTATTTCTTTCATTGTTTACTTTTGTTTTTGTTTAAATTTATTGATTTTTCAATTATTAAATGATTAGCTTTTGCATGTGTAACGGAAAAGAACTCAACTTTTTTTTGTTGCTAATCTTTTTCTTGGACCAATCATCCCACTCTGATTTTCGCATTTTCTTAATGCCCGCCTCGGCTTTTTGACTTGTTTCGTTCCGAGAATCGTTTTCGAAAGATTTTTATTTTCTTTTCTTCGCCTTTTCTCTCAATTTTCCCGTAGCCTCTTCTGCTCATCCACCCACTCGAATGGGCAGCTGTGCTTTCCTATCCTCTTTGCCTCTTCGTTTGCCTTTCTTTTGCATTTCTTTTACCTTTCTTTTGCCTTTTCTTTTGACTTTCTTTTGCCTTTTGCCTTTTCTTTTGCCTTTTCTTTTGCCTTTTGCCTTTTGCCTTTTGCCTTTTCCCATCACCTTCAAACTCCACCCACTGAAATTTCTCTGCTCTTGGACCTGTCATTTACCTCTTGTCTTTGTCTCTACCTCATTTCTAAGCTTTCCAAACCTTCTCAAATCTAGAAATTCCAAATCCTGATTTCAAATTAGCTCTTGTCCACTTTAGAACTGACTTTTTACTTAAAAGCTTGCTAAAAGCTTTTACTTAAAAGCTTAAATGAAGAAAAATCTTAAATTTTGAATTGAAATGAGTTTTGAGATTTGATTTCTTTTAGCTGATTGTTTATTAGCTCATTAAACAAAGATCGTTTTTGATTCAAAACCCAAAACTAAACAGAAATTGAACTGAAACGGAACTTAAACAGTTTTAACTGGACTTAAACAGTTCTGTCTAGACTTAAACAGTTCTCTCTAGACTTAAACAGCTTTGACTGGCTTCTTTTGAGTAGGATTTCAATTTTAAACTTAAAGCAAGCCTGAAGCCACTCCAGGGTCTAGCTTTTCTGAGAATTTTTGATAATTTAAACAGTTTGAAACGAATTTTGGTTCCCCAAAGGCTCTTTTTTCATTTCTTTTACTCAAAGAAATCTTTTTATTTTCTTTTGTCGGTTAAAAGCTTTCTTCTTTCATAAAAACCCCAAAAAGATCTTCTAACGGATAAAACAAACAATCTAAAATTCGCCTGAACTATTATTTGAATTCTAGAATCGAATGAAAATCTAGAAATACTAGAATTGACTGATTCAAAACCTTTGAAAGAATTCTAGGATAGTTTTTGAGTTTCCAAAGTCACTCTAACTTATTAGGAAACTTCTAGTAACTAATCTGGGTTCAGTAAATTCCAATAAATAGCAAAAAGTCAATTCAAAGCAATCACAATATTAAATAGTCGAAATCGATCAAAATTTGGGAGAGCTTTGCTTGGATTGATCTGGAATCCAAGTCAACCTAGGCTTGGCTTGGAGGCCAAGTCAACCTAGGCTTGGCTTGGAGGCCAAGTCAACCTAGGCTTGGCTTGGAGGCCAAGTCAACCTAGGCTTGGCTTGGAGGCCGAGTCAACCAAGGCTTGGCTTGGAGGCCAAGTCAACCTAGGCTTGGCTTGGAGGCCAAGTCAATCTAGGCTTGGCTTAGAATCCAAGTCAAACTAGGCTGGGCTTAGAATCCAAGTCAAACTAGGCTTGGCTTGGAGGCCAAGTCAACCTAGG